CGCCGCCTAGGCCGCAGCTACATTTTCATCATTTTCGTGAGGAAGCCTCAGGTAAAACGATGTGATCCAGATCCGGTTGTTTTGTTCCCCCCCGCTTTCCCTTGCAAAAAAACAATATAAAATGACATTTCTTGTTCTAACATAACCAAACTTCAAGAATCCCTTGCAAAAAATAAGGTAAAGTGGACATTCGCGCGCGCAAGACGAAATCCTTCCAAAAGCTTAGTGTCCGGAGCGATTTTAACATAAAAACATCAAAAAACCAATGGTTTTTCAACAAAAAAATGTCAAAATCTCATCCCGCGCGCTCTTGCGGATTCGTAGGAAACCCAAGACTTTTTAAACATTCTGTCAAACGGGCTTTTGCGAGCAACTTTTTCGAACTTCTGCGACAACGGTTGCGCACCTGCCAGGGCCATCATCCCTGTCAAATAATACCATGCGGGACACATTCGTTTTTTCTTCGCGCGCGCACGCCGAATCTCAAAACATTGGGCTCTTAGAATTTAGCACCGACGCATCATAACATCACACGAAGCGACCGGAGGTCCTCGAAAAAACATCAGGACAACCATCGGGACAAGCCAACCATCAGGGACAACCATCGGGGACAATCATTCGGGCAACGATCGGATCGGGACAACCACAACCATCAGGACAACCATCGGGACAACCATCGAGACAACCATCGGGACAACCATATCCTCTCTCTCTTGTGTATTCCCACATCCCTCAGGAATTTGCCCTAAAGATGTGATCACTATCTTGTGATTACGTATCATGTGTATCATGTGTATCATGTACCATATGCATCATATGCAACAGATGTTCTGTGGAAGGCTTAACAACTTCTGTGGGTTAACAAGGCTTAACAACTTCTGTGGGTGTACGAACGTAGGCTTAACAACTTCTGTGGGTGTGTACTCCACGCCAGTGTAGTAGCCACGGTCGTCCGCAGGCCACGAAGTGAAATGTCCGAACGTCATAGGGCGGGAAGCTGGGTGTGGGTGGTGGCGAAGAGTCGTGTGGATATTTGGTAGAGCTTGCACTGCCCCCCCACAAAGTGGGGGTATTGGCTGGCGTCGCATGAAAACCCTGGCACTGGTGAGAACACTGAGCGTTCGGGTAAAGTGATTGTTGTTGTTGTTGTTGTTGTTGTTGTTGTTGTTGTTGTTGTTGTTGTTGTTGTTGTAGTTGGTCGGGTCTTTGTTGCTGCTGTGAAGGTTGTTGCTGTTATTGCTGTTGTTGTTGGTGGTGGTGGCGTTGTTGCTGTTGGTGTTCTTAATGTTGTTGTCAGTGTTATTGTCAGTGCTGCCGCGACCCACCCGCGATCCACCCGCGACCCACCCCGCGACCCACCCGCGACCCACCCGCGCTCCACCCCATGACCCGCCCGCGATCCACCCGCGACCCACCCGCGACGCACCCGCGACCAAGCCCGCGACCAACCCGCGACCAACCCGCGACCCACCCGCGACCCACCCCGCGTCCCACCCACATGGCTTTAGCGAAAAATCGGCGCCTGCGTCGGGCCCTTCCTATACAATTTCTAAACATCAGGCGCCTGCCGTGGGCTTGCTCAGAGCCTCACAGACTGCCGACGTCCCCGTCGCCCCGATCCGCGACTGCGGGCTGCTATGGTTTGAGTGTGGAGGGGCGGAGGAGGTCACCACCCACCAGACCGCCCCAACCCAACCCGAAGGCCCCGATTTGCCCTCCATTTCCAGTGGGGGGGTGGGGTCGGGTGGGGGGCGGGGAACATGGAGAAAAAACAAATGAAGCTCGTACCCTCCAGCCCGAGATTCGGGCGAAATTCGGGTTTTCGGGTTGGGTTGTTGTGGTCTGATCGGCAGCCAGGAAGGATGCGAGGTGGACAGGAAGTTTCAAGTTTGCGGAAGGTCTGAACGCCTTTGAGCTCTGCCGGCCGCGTGCCCCAGGCGCCCCTCAGCTAGGCCAGCGTCCGGCGTTCTCGGCCCGAGCGGCGCGGCATCTGGCGCGGGGCGCGCGGGCGGCGGTCGGCATGCAGACCGGGGGTGTGCAAGGGGGGGAGGGCACGGGTGTGGTCTAGGGAGCTGGCTCAGCTGGAGACCGATGTTTTCTGGTCGGCGAGCGAGGGGTGGAAACGAGAAGAGAAGGCCTTTTCAGAAGGCGGCGGAACTTTTCAGAAGCCCTCGCGCCTTCTTCAGAAGTTTGTTTTGTCTTCGGGGAAGGCTAATACTTTTCAGAATTCCCGGGGACTCCCGAGCCTTCTGAGAAGGCCCGCCCCTTTTCACTTCCCACCCCCGCGTTCGCCGCCAATTCGGGTGGGTCCCAGGGAGCGGGCCTAGTTTGCGGCCGTTGTTTTTTTCTCCAGGGGCCGTCTAGGGCGAGCTTCCTCCAGCCCCACCCCTGGCCCCACAACACCTGTTGCGCCACCCCGAGAGTCAGAGGAAAGGGAAGGTGGCACCCCACCACCACCGCCAAGTGGAGGGTTTCTCCCAAGGGCTTAAGCAAACCGTCCTCCTCCTCTCTCGTCCTTCCCTCTTCCTCCTCCTCCTCCTCTTCCTCCTCCTCCTCCTCGTCCTCCTTTTCCTCCCCGTCCTCCTCCTCCCCTCCTCCTCTTCCTTTTCCTCCTCCTCCTCCTCCTCCTCCTCCTCCTCCTCCTCCTCCTCCTCCTCCTCCTCCTCCTAGTCGGCGTTGAAGGCTCAGGCACGATGAGAAACGACGGAGAGAGGAGTTGCTGAAACTCTCACACGACGGCCGCTCCACAAGCGCACGGGCACGAGAGGGAGCTATGGGGGGGCATGACAGATGGATGGCGATTGTAGTGCTCTCGATACGTGCGTTGATGAAGCTGGTAGTATACAGTCCGCTGGCGGCGTCTACCACGAACGGGATGGAAGAAATGAGCAATGCACTATAATAGTGGGATGCGATTGCACTGGCGGGGACACCAGCGGGTTGGACCAGAGCCGATGAAGAAGACGAATCACACATATATCATACGGCATTGCAGTTCGGGGCAAAAAGGGGAAAATGGTTCAGGAAGCCATGTGGGACGACGGTTCTGGTATCCAGCGACATGATGAAAGACAAGGCCTTCCACACACAGTACCCACCCCCTGCCCAATTGCAAGGTAGAACGGCGGGGATCATACTGCGGACGAGAGCGTACGACGTCACAACCTTCGCGACATATTTACCGCCACACAGAGGGCACACCCACAGTGGAATGCTATCCAACATCATGAAGTGGTTAGAGGAGAAGTGCGAAGACACGGGTGTCTGATATATTATCATAGCGAAATCTTATTATAGCGGGAGGAAGTCTCAACGGCCAGTTGGGGATGCACAGGTCTGACAGCAGGGATTTGGTGGTCAGCAGACACTGTCCGGGCAAACGTGCAGCAACATTGGGAACAGTGGATAACGACAACGGTACAGCATTCAGGGAACTTCGCGTACACAGTTTATTGCCAGTGGTCACGACGTTCATCGATTGTGGGCCCACCTACTACTGCGTGAAAACGAAAACATGATGACAAGCAGCATAGGCAACATGCGATACCGCTGGGGGCCCAACCTCATGTGCGGAGGTGCGCACCGCTGAGATGAGTGGCAACAAATATTGCGTAATATCAAAGCGAGAGGGCACAGAAACCACATCCCTGTGAGCTTGAATACAGGACCGGAGCGTCATTCTCATTTCTCGGGCACAGGCAGCAAAGAGCAGACAATGGAGTGGACCGCCACATGCTGATGGACTCCCTTAGGAAAAGGTTGCCTGAGGGCAGAAGTCTTGAGCGCGCTCGACCGCCACCTGCAGGTCGCCCAGTCGCAGCAGCCAGGAGGAGCATTAGCGAGGTTCCCTCGGAGTGCGACCCCGGCTGTTCCATCAGTTTTCCGCGGGGATGCATTAGCATGGTTTTCTCGGAGAGCAACCCAGGAGGTACCTGCCAAACCCCCAGGGGAAGCATTCGCGAGGTTTTCTCTGAGTTCAGCTCATGGAGAGCACACGGCAGAAGAATGGAGAGAGCTGCAATGGCCCAGCAGCATATCATGCGCGAAGAGTGTGGGGCGAGGCGGGCGGGAATGCCACGGCGGAAGTATTCCCGATCAAGAAGGAGCAGGAGGACAAGGGGGCGGCCGCTGTCCCATCTCTTGCGTTGCCCCCTACTGAGTGGCAGAAAGGATGACGTGAAGAGTGGGCGTGGTGGAGTCTGACGCGCAGGAGAAGCTGGAGGTGGTCAAGAAGGAGCTGGTGTGGATACAAAATGTGCCACGCAAGCACAGGACAGGCTTGGAAACGGAAAGTGCAAAAGGAAGCTGGCAGAGGATATTTGAAGGGCATGCCAAAACAAACAACTTCGGCGAGATGCACGGGCTCAGGGTGGAACATCAGAGGAATGATGGTGGGACTAAAAAAGAGGTGCTAGTTCTCAGCGCGGGCTTGGTGGCGCACAGGAGACTGGCTCGCAGAAATGCGCAAGCGCCCCCGCGAGGGGGAGCCGGCAGCCGAGCCGATGGACTTGGAAGAATACGCAAAGGAGCATGACGAGTCGAGAACAGAAAAAATACCGCCCCCACTATATATGGAGTTGGCAGCACAGGTGGAGAGGGACAAGAAAGACATGCTGAAGTACTGCAGGAAAGCGGCAGAGAGGAGGGCTTTCCCCCCGTGGAGAGCACCAGTGGAAAGAAAGAATATCGGTGATTCTAGAGACCGCAGTCAAGCTGGAGGACCCTGAGCAGCTCTGCAAGAAGCTGGAGGAGCAGACAGTGCGAGCGTCGGAGAAGCGAGACGACGAGGAACACTTGGACAGGTTCAGCTCACTCTACAAGCGCAGAGTGGGAAGGTTTATTTTGCAGAGGATGGATTGGGCACCAGACAGGACGTTGGGCTGGGCAGACAGAGATGTCGATGGCGAGGCGCTACGGGCAACAGGAAAGAAGGCGCGCCACCTGGGGGAATTCGAGAGCGCCGGGCTGGGCTCGCCGGTGTCGGGGAAAGAAGCGAGCACGCAGTGCGGGGGCGAGCTGGAGAGCGCCCTCATCAAGCGTCGCCGATCCCAAGCTACTCCAGCGGAAAGAGGCAATCACAGAAAAGGGGTTGGAGGAAAGGGGGTCACGCGCGTGCTGCCAAATGGGAGCGGCTTCTCACAGGGGCATCCATTACAGAGGCAAAGCACCGAATCTCCCATGCTGGGCGCACAGGGGGGGGGGGGGGGGCTTAAATAGATCGAGAGAGAACGCGATTGCCTGCGTCGAAGCTACGCATTGGGGCGACATGCAGGAATGAGCACGATCACCAGCAACTACGACTGCACAAACGCCTTCGAGACCGAAGCGCAACTCCCCGCTGGCATCAGGCTTCGCCGCGTCGAGAGAGGACCTACCACTTGTCGTCAAGGCGCTGCGCTGCGCGTCGATGAGTATGGAATGCGCAGACGACCAGCTGCGTGCAAGGACTCCGAAAGGTGCGCAAGTGGGATTTACCTTGTGCCCGATTCAGTTCAATGACACTTGCAATCATTACGTGGGGCAATGACACCAGGAAGATAGCCAGATGGACATTATGCAGTCAATGCATGATGCAGTGGACCTCGTCGAGGAACAAGGGCGCGACCTCCTCGCTCAACGCGTTCATGGACGACGTCGCCACGATCCGAGCAGCGGTCTCCAGTGGACCAATCCCACTGGGAGGCTGGAGTTAATAAAGTTATCTCGGAACACCAGTTGGGGGCCGGCGAATGCGAGCATCTGGAGTGGGGAGGATGGGGCCTGAACCCAGCCAGAACTAACCACTCGGTGGCTCTTCGGGGGCCAGAGCCCCAATCATTATACTATTGGGGCTGTAGGGCTCTGGGGCTATACGGTTATAGGGCCATCGGGCTAGGGCCATAGGACTATAGGGCTACAGGGCTATAGCAACATAGGGCTGTAGGGCTACAAGGTAATGAGGCTATCGGCCCACAAGGGCTATAGGGTGAGCGCTCTAGGGCGATTAGCCTATAGGGCATAAGGACTATAAGGATATCAGGGCTATAGGTCTATACGTCTTTAGGGATATAGGGCTATAGAGCTATAGGGCTATAGGGCGATGGCACCCGGGCACCCCGGGGCGCCCGGGCACCCCGGGGCACCTCCAGGCACCCCCGGGCACCTGGGCACCCGGGCGCCTCCGGACACCCGGGCGCCCGAGCACCTCCGGGCACCCAGGCGCCCGGGCGCGCGGCGAAAATCGGCGGCAAACCTAACCTAACCACATGAAACCGCTAGGACCCCCACAGATCCAAGCTCTGATTGGGGAAAGCAGGAGATGTTCCAGGCGTTTGTTTCGGCAGCTGGCCTTAGCGTTTGGGCGTTACTTGTGCTGGAAGACGGCCGCTTAAAAGCAACCGACAGTGCGATGACACTACTTTTGAGAGGAATGGCAGGAGGCAGGATGAGCCGGGCTGAAGCAGATGGTTCGACCGAGGGCCACGCCAACAAGGGGGTTGCCAGAAGATGGAGGGCGCGCGCTGCTCGACAGCGCTGAGGATGCGCAGGCTACGGTGGTGCAGACAATTGGCGAGTTCCCCAGGGGATGTTGGCAGCTCGCTGGCAGCAGTTGTGGGCGCGGAGTTTGGAGACTTGATGGTTTTGCGAAGCATCTACACCATGGGCCAAGCAGGTGGCCAGGGACATCCAGGCGCGGGGTGGTGCCAGCGAGGACGTTTGGAGCTGGTACCCGAAGAGGGAGTCAGACATCTCCTCGCTCAAGAAGGGCACGAGGGACTGGGAAGCTTGGATGGGGACGGGCCCCAGCGTCGGGACGGGCCCCAGTATCCTACGCCGCGCTGGATAGGCATGGGGCACGAAGCTACCAGGGATTACGGCGTGAGGAGAGGTGGTGGCTTAGTTTCAGTGTTGCTGGGGAACTGGGGCTGAGGGGCAGGCGCGCGGAGCGCAATTTACTACGGCGGCGGCGCTGGCAGGGCGCAGGGGAGTGGCGCGCAACTGTCTTCGTCTGGTCCCCGGCCTGGTGGTCACGAGTCAATGTCCTTGGTGCATGAGCTCGTTTGCTCAGAAACAACGACCGACCATGTTATGGCGGCGACGGAGAGTCACGGCATTTGCTACAAAATCCGAAGCTGCTGGAATCACCCAGTCCGTCAGCCCCCTTCCCTCGTCTGCATCCTCGGTGACTTCCAGGCTAAAGCTTTGGCAGGTTTGCAGGTGCGCTCGCGCAGCCAGGAACCAACCGCCACCCAAAAGTGGAGCAAGCGCGGAGATGGAGGGAGGGCGGAAGCGACGCAAGGGAGGCAAGGGACAAAGGAACATTGCCAGTGGCACGCAGAAGGGGCCAGCGCCACGGCGGCGCGCAGCCCGCCAGCGGCCGCGGCCGCGGCAATGGGAGGGAGCGGCAACTGCGGAGGAGGAGGGCGCAGACTGCCCCCCCGCCAGTCATGCGTAGCGGGCGACTACGAGGAGTTCGACCTAATAGTGCGCATCAACGGACTCCAGAGAGTGGCCCTCCAGAGATGAGCCACATGACCACGGAACTTCTTCCATTTGCCAGCAAGCAATTGGGCGCTTCGGAAGTCGATGACAGCGGGGCAGAAATACGGGAACCAGGCCAGGATGAAGCGCAAGGGACACAAGTTGGCCGCCAGGCATGCACGCTGGCATGGCTCTCATGGAAGGCGCCCATGAGCTGGCGTCGGATGAGCAGAAGGAAGACGAGACGACAGCACTAGTATCAATAGATCGAGCAACGGACACCCTGAACGATTCCCCGGGGCTGGTGGAGGCTAATAACGAGCACAGCCAGGCGATGATCACAGGGGCGATCAAGATTTGCAATGTCAGCGAGAGCTACAAGGCGCGCAGCAGCGACGACAGGAACCCGAACGAGGACGAGCAGTAGTTTTGGGAGGTGGGTTTTGGTAAGATCCAGACCGGCATCAACGAGTCTCCCAACTCCAGGGCGGTGCTCCGTAAGGGCGCGAGGGGAGACGCCATGGCGAAGCTGGGCCAGTTCTCAGGCCACAACCTGAGGATGGCGCTGGGGGTGCTGATCTTCTACGCGGGAGGCCAGAAGTTTCAGTCAGTGGCCCCCCAGTCGGATCAGGAGAGGATTGCGGAGCGGGAGCGCCAGCGCCGGCGGCGCTGAGAGAGGAGACAGCGGTGGCATTAGCGAGGTTTTCTCGGAGCGCTGCACAACAGAGGTCCGACGGGGAAGTTGCTTTTTGCGAGGCCTAGTCAGGGTGCGCAGACCCTAGGGCAGAGTGCCAGGCCGCCGCTGACGCGGAAAAGGCGCGCGCACCGCGCCACCGACGGATCTACGAAATGGCCCTGAAGTCCCGAGCAGAGCTACAGGAAAAAAAAAGCCCTGAGCAAGGGGCTGTCTGGCAACAACCAGCGTGCCAATCCCAGTCAGTTAAAGGCGTCATCTACAATGAGGACACGACGCATGTCTCCCTCCCTCGATCCATTTGCAGCAACGGAGGGATGGTGGGCGGGGTATTTCGCACACAGCACAGCATGCGCAAAATCTAGAAGGGTCACGGATCATGGGCGGGAGGTTGGAACAGCGCACGAGGCGCTACGAGTCTAACAGGGCAGTTGGGAATGTGCGACTATCTTAAGGGGTGGGGGGGTGGGGGGGTGGGGCCAGCATGTGCGGGGTACTATGCGTATAACAGGGCTGTTGGGAATGTTGGGAATGCGCTGATATCTCCATCGCTCATGCTCGGATGCCGCAGCTGATCTGGCTCAGCGCTGGCCTAGGTGCGCAGCGTGGCGCGCTTGCGGGGCTTCTCGGAGTGCGTCGCGGTTGCGGACTTTCGGGGCTTCGCGCGTGGGCCGTGGACTTCGCGGCCAGCAGCCGGCCATGGCTTTGCGGGCGCTGCAACAAGGAATTCCAGTACTACAAGATGATCGAAAGCCGCAGAGAGCACGTGAGGAACGAGCCAGGCCACGAGAAGGACCATGGCGGCAAAGGCGGCGATTGGAAAAGAGCGCGCGTCGATTGAGAGCTGGAGCTGAGGGAGGAGGAACGGGGCAGACTTGAGCGATGAAAAGAGGACACGGGATGGAGAATAAAGATATACTTCGGGAGAGCGGATCTGCCGAGAACAAAAGAGGACGGCACGCCGAGCTGCGCTGGCGGCCCAGGCAGTCTGACAAATGAAAGCTGCCCAAGTATAGCCGGCAGGAGAAGGGCGCCCAAATCAAAAAGCCTCGAGCCCAATGGAACAATGTCACCATAGAGAAGCCAAAGGAGATGACAAAGGCGCTGATGGAGGGCATCAAGATGGATGGAGGGATACTTGCAGCCTTTAGCAAAGCATGGGAGAGAATGGCAGAGGCTCTTCGCTGCGCAGAAGAACGCGACACCCTTCTCAACGTGTGCATGGCCATGGACGTCAAGGGCGAAGATGCGTTGAAGGTGGCAACTCAAGAGTTGGGGGAGAACGAGAAGAAGCTGCACGAGAAGGGCGACCGCAAGACGGCGGATGGCAAGGGTGAGAAGCAGCCCGAGCTCTTCCAGGCGCTGGATTTCGTGGACACGTGGAGCGACGACGCGCAGCTGGCTGTTCAACGCGTGCAGGAGGGGCATTGGATGATGCAGACAGAGAGGGGGGGGGGCCTGCTTGCGCGGAAACGCCTTCCCGAACACGCTGTGGCGGAGTGGCCCCAGTCCCAGCTCGAGAAGTGACAAGTGGCAGTTCTGCTGCAAGGTGGATTGGTTGCAGCTCGTGGAGGCGCAGGAGAGTCACCCAGAGGGCGTGCTCTTCATAAGAGGGTAGACAAGATGAAGCAACCGTTGGGCGCAGACAGCGGGAAATTGCCCACGAACGGTCGCGGGTCCAAGTTCCCCCCGTTCACGAGTGGGCCATCGACGGTGGTGGGGCTCACGGCGGGGGCCACATGGCGAGCGCCCATTGCGGGGAAGGCTCCCGCGGCTACTGGGCGACGCCACGAAGGAGAGCCACTGCCAGTACTTCGACGCGGCCCAGAAGATGAGCCCAGAGGAGCTATTCGAGCTGGTCCCAACATCCTTCCCGATGACGCACAAGATCGCAGGTTGCGACCTCGTCGCAAGGTGCCCAGTGGACCAATGGGAGAGGTCAGGGAGGAGGGCCTTCACTGTGCAGAGCCGGCACGAGCTGGCGCTGCAGATCGCGAGCGACGAAAAAAACTTCCACAACGTAGTGCAGGTTGCCATTGAGGAGCTGAACGACGAGGATAGCATGGACGCAGTGGAAGTGAAGAGGCTGAAGGGGCGCCAGAAGCTACCGGGCAGCACCCAGACGACGCTGGATGGCAGCGAGATCTTCGCGGAAAATTTCGGCTACCCCAAGTCGGAGTAGGCGACTACGACCAGCTCATCTAGCGGTCGCCAGTGAGCTCACCCACTGGAGCCTGCTGATCCGCCAAGCGGCATGGGCGAGGCTTTTCGGAGTGCTACTCTAGGCAACCGGCGAGCTGGCCGCGCCCACAGTCAGGGGGAGCATTGGCGAGAACTCTCGGAGTGCAAGACAGGTAGCAGGGGCGCAACAGATCGAAGGGGAAAATCGTGATTATCAGGAAGCCCACCAGTGTGCTCCTCACTGGCCCTACCTCATGCCGTGACTCACCGTTTGCTCTACCTCGCATGCATTTCGAGGGGGACGATGGGTTATTTCAACAGAGTGCCAGAGTACAGATGTGACAATGCACGGGACATTTCTCGGAACGACTTAGAACTGAGCCGAGCGGGAGAGGGGTCACATAATTCAATATGTAGCATATAAGCAGCCCCCCCCCCCCAAACAATAGTTTGGGGGGCCCGGCCTTCCGTCTCTCCCCCTCTCTCCTCCTTTTGAGGTCGTGTCGTCGTCTCCCCCCACTGGTTTGGGCGCCTTGCTAAGCCCGCGCGCCCTCTCCTTTGGGGCTCGCGGAAGGGCCAGCAGCCGCTCCTCCCGCACTGACCCGAAGGGACTCGTGATGTAAGGCAGCAAGCTTCTCCTGCGGGGCCACCTCGGGGTTCGGTCCTTGAGCTACATGGCATGCCCCTGCCAGCCCCAGTCAGAGGGCAGGGCTGTAGAACATCAGATCTCAGGGGAGTTTGAATATGGAACGCAGGTCACCCGAGTAAGTGCTCAGACGTTGTACCCCTTTTTTCATGCGGATGTCATTGTCTTTCGCCTCTTTCTCCTCCCCCTCCTCCTCCTCCTTATCATCATCATCATCATCATCATCATCATCATCATCATCATCATCATCATCATCATCATCATCATCCCTCCTCCCCCTCCCCCTCCACCTCCTCCCCCTCCCCCCTCCTCCGCTTCCTGCTCCTCCTCCTCCTCGTGTTGCCTAAGGCCCCGTTGGGAAGCCGTGCGCCGCCAAGGGTTGGGCACGACCAGCAGGGGCACGGGAGGAATTGGTACGAAGACCGACAGCAGTTCTTGTTCAGTTTGACCAAGGTTAGCTGTCGGAGTCGCCGCGGGCCTTGTACATTCGCAGTTTTGCATCATACCGATTGTTTCCGTACCCATTGTGGGCGTCCACAAGGGTGCCAGTTCGAACGAGGAGGTCCACGATGCTTCTCCGAGCAGGGGACAGGGGACGTCTCGAGCGCCGAGGTGTGGATGGGGCCCACACCACCACGAGGACCCCTCCCTGGCTCCGCGTGCTGGTGGTGGTGATGGTGACACTCCTCCACTTGCTCCCAGAGAAGAGGGCCGCCGAGGACGGCCCTCAGCCCGCCAAGCGCTCCAAGACCTTCGAGGGGTTGCGGGGATGTAAGGGTGGCGGTTTCGCGGAGGACTTGAGGGCGGCCGCCGACGCTGTGCCGGACTTCGTGCCCGTGCTGTCGTCCCCGTGCCCGGGCGGCCGCGTGGTGGCGTCCGTGCGCAAGGCCTTGGAGGGCGGAATTTCAAGGGGAGCGTCGAAGATAGATGAAGAGTTCTCGATGGACGGGAATTTTCTCCAGGATCAACGCTCGAAAGGAGGAATGTGGGTAGGAACCTGGAAGTTGTCCCGCCTCGGGATGTGTTCCAACAGCTGCGCATCGCCGAGAGCGTTTTCCCAGGGTACCTGGACTGCCCCGAACGGCCGCTGGGGGCCCGAATCACGACACGGAAGCCGCACGACGAGGATCACAATCGGTGGTTCAAAGATGGGGTCCTGAGGCATGGGGGCCCAAAGGCAGGAAGGAGTCCAAGGGTGAATTTACATTGTTTGAGGCACCTCGGCCTTAGGACCCCACCCCTCAGGACCCCATCTCTGGACCTTCGACGCAAGGGGTGCGGTGTTGCTGTCAGTCGCGTCGGCTTTCGGTTGTGCTGTCGCCATGGCCGGCCGTGCTCGAGGACCGCACGGCGGCACAGGCAGAAGTCTGCGCAGGGTCCGCGCGGGCGCCTTGGGCCGGCACTGCGCCCTCCCCTCCACCCTCTGCGGCGCCTCCTCCAGAGCCGAAGGGATGCGGGGTGCTGGGTCCAGCGCCGCTCGCAGACATCCCGCGCTGGACCCCCAACAGTTTCAGTTGGGTGGCGTGCGCAGGGGCCGGCGCGAGGGGGGCCGCCTTCCCCGAAGGCGGGGGGGAGGATCTTCAGAGGGCGCTTGCCTTCTCAGGAGGGCCTGGAGGCTTCCTGGAAGGCTCCTCAGAGGCCGGGGCGGCTGCTGAGAAGCCGCCCCCCTCGCCTTCCTGCAGAGGCCGCTCCCCTCTTGCCCGCCCCCCCCGTGCGCGCCGCCAGGACTGCTGCCTGTGCAGCGTGCTTGCCCTCTCGGGTGGCTCGGCATGGCTTGCACGTTCGCAGTGAAATTTTCCTCGGCGAGGACCGTCGAGGAGCATCTTGCCTTCAGTCGGGCGTGGCCCTCTGCAGGAGGAATATTCAAGAATAGTAAAAACAAACTCTGGGGGCGTTTTTCAAACTATGTTTGAACATCTGGGAGCTTTTTCTTTGACTGTGCTTCATTTTTGCTCGTCCAGACTCCGCCTGTGGAGGGACAGGCCCGACGGGAAGTCTTGCGGCACCTTGCGACAACAAAAAAAAACACGCCCGCGGCCGAGCCAAGGGGCATCGGGGCGGGCGGCCGCCCGAGCGCCGGGCGGGCGCAGGTGACCCTCAGCTCCGACAAGACGGCGCAGCCGCGCTGCGCGTGGTGGCAGCTGCAGCACGGCAGCCCGCCCGTCGGCCCGGTGGAGAGCGGCGCGGTGGACCTCTCGAGGCTGGACTTGCAGGGTCGGCAGAGAGGGGGGCGAAGACTAGGGGGGGGGGATATCATGGCGGTGGCCATGGTATCTCCCCAGATTTCATGGCGCCTCTCCTTATTTCATTACGTCCCTGGCCCCCCCGCTGGGCCGCGCACATGCCGCCGGTCATGATTTGCACCCCCCCCTCTTGGACACCCCCCTCTTGGCCGCACCCGAGGCTGACGTCGGGCCCGTGCCTCTGCACGGGGGGGAAAGTCAAAGATAGGCGAAAAAGCGGGACGCTTGTGAACTATTTTTGAACATTCGAAGATGGGCACACAAAAAAACAGTTTGGGGATGATGTGTCGACTATGTTTTAAATATGTTTACATTTTGGGGGGGCTATGTTTTAGTTTTCGTTCAAAATCCGCCTGTAGGGGGACAGGCCCGACCTAAGGCTGGACGACGACGTCGTCGCGGTCGCCCTGACCGCCGAGGTCGCAGGGGCCGGCAAGGACCCAGGCCGCCTCAAGTTCGGAGGTTGATAGGCCTCCTACCTTCACACGCCTATTCGCGAATGGGCCGTTCTCGGTCCGCGAGAGGGCGTGCCGCCCGTCACTGTTGCGGGTCCGGGGCCGTCGGTTTCGGTCCCAGGCCGTTTTCACTGCAAGGTGGTTTGCTAAAAGGAGGTTTGTCCACCGCCGGCAAACGCTCTTGGAGCAGGGGGTCGACTACAGAGATGATGTACCCCAGACTCGAGTTGTTCCTTGTCGAGCCCAAGAGACACGCGCAGCATGTTCGTAGATCCACGAACTTCTACGTGTGACTCGACGAGAAAACCCATGCTGGGGCCCATCAAGTCTAAAGTCGATCCTTTACTCAAGAGCCGCGCGGGTTTCTGGGATCGGTGCTGGGCCCCCCCTGGCGGCGCCTCCAGCGCCGCCCCTGGCGTACTCCGCGCGCCAGGGAGGGGGGTTCAGCGCAGATCCAAGCACTCCGCGCGGACATTCGCGCGTGTTCCTTATTTTTGTTGTTATCGTGTGTTCCTTTGTCTCTATTTTTCTATTCTTCTAATTATTATTAGTATTATAAGTATGATTATAATTATGAGTATGATTATTATTATCATTATTATTATGATTTTTCCTAGTGTTCCTTTCTTCGGCTTTTTCTGTTTCTATTTCATCTTCTCTTCACAGGGGCCCGGGCAGATGAGAACGAAGGATCGCGCCGCATGCCCGACGCATTGGCTGTGCGGCTTGGCTCTGTATAAGCTCGTCGAGGCTTTGGGGAGGTCATTTCTGTAGCGCCACATGGCCCACGATGCTTGGAGGTGGCCTCCAATATGGCGCAATCTGGTCTAAATTGGCCGAAGATGGCCTCGGGCCTGTCTCCAAGACGCCCGAATACTGCCCTAGGAGCCCGTCTTTCTCTCCATCACCGAGGATCACCGATGCGTTGGAAATGCGGCGCGATCGTGCGAGCCCCCCAGTTCGGATGCAACTCCTGGGAGGTTCAATTCAGCATCGGCGCTGGGTTTCCGTGGTCGAGACCTGGCCAAATCTGGCATATTCCCGCTGAGTCCGATTCAATCCCGCGTGATTTGGCTTAATTGGGCCTGGTCCGTCGCAATGGCCCTTTAGTCGATCGGGCTGAATCGCCCTCTCATCGTTCTCGCGAAGACCTCCTAGCGGTTGCCTCCCAACACCTGAAAGTGTACCGACACTGCTACCCTTGCCTCGTTTCTTGTTTGTTGGGCCTCCTTCGCCAGAGGAGAACGAACCACTACCACCAGCACGGGGGGCTGGCCGTTCCACTCCCTGAGCTGGTGGCACCCCGTTCCGGGCGCGCCCCCAGAGAGAGCCCGGAACGGAGTGCCACCAGCTCGGGGGGGGGGGGATGGCCGTTGGGACCGAAGTTCTGTGGAGTTCTGGTGGCAGTGGCTCTCCTTGCTCCCATGACTCCTGGGAGGCCCCACGGAGCAGCGCGGTCTGGCATGGCTATCGTTAAGTCGGGCCTGTTCCTCTACAGGTGGAATACTCAACACTGGCCAAAGAAATAGTCTGGGGACGATTTTTCGGTTTAAGCAATTTTTGATTATTGGGGGGGCGGGCATTCTTCGAGCATTCCTTGGGTTTCGCCCCAGATCCGCCCGTAGGGGGACACGCCCGACCTCGGGCTGTCGCCCTGCCCCCCCCCCCGCAGCTCGGACCCCCCGCGAGCGAGCGGCCCCCGAGGAGAAGGTCACCGAGTGGGTCGAGGGCGGGGCGCAGACGGCGGGCAAGGCCCCCCCGTGGGTGGCGGCGCTGGCCTCCGGCGGGGAGGGCGGGGAGCTGGTGCGGCTGCGGCGGGCCGAGGGCCTGGCCGCGGGCAGCGCCTGGCTCTCGGGGGAGGGAGGGAGGGAGGGAGGGAGGGAGGGAGGGAGGGAGGAAGGGAGGAGGAGGAGGAGGAGGAGGTGCAGAAGGTTACGGGACAAGTCATGTGAGTCGTCTCCGAGTAAACGCGCCTCGCCGAAGCAACGAGCAGGTGCAACATTCTCATGTACGAGGCCACGGCCTCCACGCCATGCCCTAATTCTGGGCACGGGCGTTCTCAATAGCGGGGCGCACACGAGTATGGTTCTCTTCGGTCAAACACCGTAATCACCTGGACGTCGGACGTCGCATTGTTTTGCAATCCAGCGTTTGACCGCGGACCGTCTGCTGGCTCGCTCATTTTTCATTGTCCCCAGGAGTCGAACACGGCCCCTCGAGATGGTGGATTGCCAATGCAATCTGGCGCGATGCTTCTGTTCCAAGTCGCCAGAGGATCTGGGATCACCGGGAAACGCCATCCTCACGGTTTGGCCTCCTGAGTAGCGCCAGCATCTTCATTGACTGGACGGGAAGGGTTCCAGCTGACCAAGGGAGAGGAGGAGGAGGAGGAGGAGGAGGAGGAGGAGGAGGAGGAGGAGGAGGAGGGGCCTCGTGGGCGGCCCCAGTCGCCGCACCGCCGGATTCGCCTCGGAGTCCTGGTCAGAACGCACCCCAGGAGAGGCCCAGGGAGTACAGCGGTATCGGTACCTTTTGGTTCCCTTAGGCTCGTGGCCGTCGTCGCCCGCGCGCCCGAGGGCTCCGGCTGGAGCGCCCAGGGCATCGACGAGGTTCGAGAGTCGGGGGCGGCAAAGAGGGGGGCGATGACTAGGGGGGATGGATCTCATGGCGGGGGCCATGATAGATCTCCCCAGATGTCATGGCGCCTCTCCTTAACTATTTCATTACGCCCCTGTCCCCCTCCCCCTGGGCCGCGCACATGCCGCCGGCCATGATTTGCGCCCCCACCTCTTGGACGCCCCCGTCTTGGCCGCCCCTGGTTCGAATCGGGGGTCCCCAAACGGAGTGGTGACCACGCCATGTGGTGAATCGATGGGGATTCGGGGTCCCGCACGGTTTTGGGACCCGAGTCCCTCTCCGAGGATGTCTCGGGCGACGGGGACCTCCAGGGTCCCAAGACCTTGCGGTGACGGACCGTGCGGTGAGGTCTCTTGGGGTTCCGCGCAAGGTCTTTCACCGCCCCGTTTCGGGACTCCAAATTCGAGCACACGTAGGAGATCGCAAGAGTGACCTTTCGCCGGAGTGACCGTTGGTGCGCGCCGACTGGGGCCCCGCGATCGCCTCACCCGATGCCTCGGAGCGATGGTCATGAGCGTCTTCTGCGCTTGGGTGTGGCCCCGCCCCGCGGCCACCCAACAGCCGCGCACCAAAGGGCACGGTCACTCCGGCGTGTAGCCTTAAGTCGGGCTTGTCCCTCTACAGGGGGAATACGCAAAAATAGCCCAAACTAGTATGGGGACGATGTTCTTGTTTTTGTTTGGCTATTCTTTTGAGTCTGATTCTTCATTTTCCGTCCAAAACCCGCCTGTAGGGGGACATGCCCGACCTAAGTGTCGTAGCCGAGAGGTGTACCCGGCGGAGCGGTTGAGGGCCCTGCTGCAGCTGCGCTGCAAGGAGATCGTGGCCGCGCCGCCGCCCGCCGAGGCTCGGGCGACGAGATCGGGCGCAGAGCGCCTCGGCGCTGAAATCCGAGGCCCACCCTCGCAGACCAGAGGAGGGAAGAGGTGCCCACACCCCTCCCCGCCCTTCGTTTTCCCCTCTTTGGGCCTCCTGGGCCTCCCTCGTCGCCACCGCTGGCTTCGCCTCGGAATCCTGGTCAGAACGCACCCCAGGAGAGGTCCGGGGAGTAGCGGTATCTGTACCTTTTGGTGTCCCCATCGCAGACCAGCGGCTCAGGCAATTCGATGGGCGGCGGGGGTAGGGTTCGGAGTCCGAAGACGTGGCGAAGTCCGAGTTCAACCCCGCCTCCCATCGTCTCAGGAGAAGCGATGATTGGTGGGCGTAGGGTTTGGATGTCGCCACCTGGTCATTCTGACCTGAACAGGAGTGGCGCTCGAGGTTCGAGGCGTGTCAGGCGTTATCGTTGGTTCTCAGTGACCTTCCAGCCTCGGGGTGCTCTCCAGCAGCTGCGCCTAGTCGAGAGCGCTCCAGGGGTGCTTGGGTCGGCCCGAGCGGCCGCCGGAGGTCCGAGGTACGACCCGAAGACCACCAGGGGTGGGCCATGTCCACCTCGGGCCCGGTGGCGGCCAGTCGGCGCCCAGAGGACTCGGTGATCTGCGCGCAGGCCAGGGATCCTGGTCCATGTGTCGGGGGAGAAAAAGATACGGATACGTGTTGTCCCCCTTCGTTTTCGGCCTTTCCTGGTCCTCCTGGGGAATCCTCGTTGTCACCGCTGGATTCGCCTCGAAATTCTTGTCAGAACGCACCCCAAGAGAGGTCCAGGGACAACACGTATCCGTATTTTTCCGCCCCCCAACATGTGGATGCTCAGGCCGCGGGTCCTGGCCCACACGCCTCGGGCCCAGCTCACGCTCCCCGGGTGGTGCCCGGATCGAGGCCCACGGGCCAGGCCCCGTGTCGCAGGCTGGGGCATTTGATCTCGGCTCGGCCAGGCCCCTTGCCACGGGCTGCGTCCAGGGAGCCCTGCCCAAGCCGAGGGGGGGGTCCTCGCACGCGCCGCGGCCCGGGGCGGCGCGTGCGCACGGATCTCGTCGCGGGAGGAGGAGGACCCCATGGAGAAGACGCGGCGGCTGCTGGCAGAGGCGATGGCCGGCTAGGGGGGAGAGGGCGCTGGCGCGCGGCGGCCCGCGGCGCAGGGCATTGTGCCGCCGGCCGGCGCGGGCCGCGCTGGGAGTGCCGTGGCGCGCGCGCGCGCGCGCCACGGCCGCGGGCCAGGCTCTGGGCAGTGCCGCCCCCTGCGCGCGGAAGATCCGCCAAAAGACCAGGGGCAACGCCAGGGGGGGGATGGGCACAGGGTTAGGTCGGGCCTCTCCCTCTACAGGGGGGACGAACATGGAGAAAGAGCATAGTCTTGGGACGATCTCGCGAGTAATTTTGGATACTTTTGGTGGTATCGTTTACTATGTTTAACGTTTCGTCAAAATCCGCCTGTAGGTGGACATGCCCGACCTGAGCATATCAGGAGGGAAAGAAACACACAGACACAATTAATCGTCGATTCCCCAGAACATATGGGACAATATGGGAAGTGGGGGGGAAGACAACAACCTAGAGCAAATTGGAAAATATGTGACATCTCGTTATTCGTGTGTATTTGTGTGTGTGTGTGTGTGTGTCCTTGGGCCCCTTGAGACATGCCCGACCTGAGCATAGGGGGGATGCATCGACCCCCAATCGCCCACTGATCGCCGACAGGGGTGTGAGAGCCCCTCCCCGCCCAGGAAGGTGCAGTTTCGACGTCGGGGGCCTGTCCGCGATGTATCGCCGATTCCAGGTCGACTCATCCCCCCCTGGATATGCCAGTCCCCCCCCTATCGTTATGATATGATGATCCAACCTACTTGAGGGTTTTCACGTGACGGGCCCTGGGAGACACTCGCCCGACACTCTTTCGACACTCTTTCAACACTTTTCCGGGTGCTCGACATTATTTCTGGAATGCGGTCCTTGAGTCGGATGGGAACAACATAACCCTATCGTTGCCCCTCACAAGACGGGTACAGAAAGAATGGGCACGAAGACTCACAGCAGTTCCTGTCCATTTCTTGAACAGAACTGAACTCGCCGTCAGCGCCCCCGCGGACGTTGCCTTCTTGATAGACAGAAGCACGGCGGCCCAGTCGGTCTTCGACAAAATGTGTTGTTGGTCGGAGAAGAATCTGCCGCATGAGCATACAGTCGGGGCGCTGAAGAAGGAACCCGTCTCGTTGTGGAGGGGCTCCGTGTTCCTTCATTGTTTTACAGCGTGCCCGAGGTTTTCCCTAGGTTTTCCATGGGACATCGAAGTTTGACTTATGGGAAAAAGGGGCCCCGTTCCTTATGTAGGGTTCCTTTGGTCAACGCCCCGACTGTAAGCTTTCGACGCTCCTCGCGGATTTCTTGGTTCCGCGCTTGGCCCACCCAGCGGCGCCTCCAGCGCCGCCCCTGGCGCGCCCCGCGCGCCACGGAGGGTGGCCCAGCGCAGATCCAGGAGCTCCGCGCGGAGCGCCAAGAGTTCCTGTCTGTGCCGCTGCTTCTTCTGCTTCCAGTTGGGCAGCGTACCCCTTTTTTTCCGTGGCCGCTGCGGGCGTGCCAGAGAGAGCCTTTCGTTCGGGGGCGGCGTGACCGATCCTTGGCTTCTGATGTTCCAACCTACTTTCGCCTTGATCACCAGAAATAATTTCGAGCGCCAGAAAAGCACCCAACATCTCGAGGGTTTTCACGTGTCGGGCCCTGTTTCGACACCATTTTGGATACTCTTTCGAAACTTTTCTGGGAGCTCGAAACTATTTCTTGGATGTGGTCCGTAAGTACGATGGGAGCAACATAATCCTTGGCAAGCCGACACCCTGAGTGATGACCCCCCTTCGCCGCGCTCCAAGACGTGGAGGAAGGCAGCCGGAGGGTGGCCTCGAGGACCAGAGGGCGGCCGTCATGGCAGGAAGCTCGCCACCGAAGGGGTCGGCTAGTCGGTGGCCACATGCGAAACTTACCCCCACCCCAATCCCCCACGATTGCTAAAGTAGGGAAACGAACAATGACATAAACATAACAACTCGGAGGTCCGCGCGAATTTCTCGGATCCGCGCTGGGGCTTCCCGGCGGCGCTTCGGGTCCGCGCTGGGGCCCCCCGGCGGCGCCTCCGGCGCCGCCCCTGGCGCGCTCCGCGCTCCAGGGAGGGGGGGTCCAGCGCGGATCCAAGAAATCCGCGCGGACCTTCGAGTTTCTATGTTAGTGTAATTTTTCGTTCCCCTATAAAGGGCGGTGGGGGTTAACTTCGTTCGGGAGTTCCCGAGCAGAGTGCACCCCCACCCCTCCCTTCGGAACCGTGAGGGGGGGGGGTAAAGGGCTCACGTGTGTGACCACCTAGTCAGAACGCGCCCGAGTCGTCGTCGTCGCGGCGGTTGCGGCCGCCGTCACCTCCTGTGGCAGGAGTGCGAAGGCAGGCGGAGGGGGGAGCGTGGCGCGGGAGGTGCGGGGGAGATGGGGGAGCGTGGTAGCGAACAAGTGTGACCAAAGGGACACTGCCAGAGCGACAATTGCTGGGATTGGCAAAATTGTGGGACCGACCACTTGTGGTTGATTAAATGCCCTGACCTTCCGACGCGGTGGCCCCACGCCGAGGTACGGCAGAGGAGCCCTCCGCGCCCTCCCTTTTCCCTCGGGGGAAGGGCGAACGATGCCCGCTCCGCTGGCAGTGCAACCCCTATCCAAAGGGTCCACGATGCCTCCCCGAGCATGCTGGGGATGTTTCCAGCGGGGCGCAGAAGGCAGCGACGTCACACCACCGCGAAGACCAGTGATCCCTGCGATGGTGGCGCTTCGAACGTTCACATCACGACACAAGCACACGTGCTCGGACGGAGTCATCGGGGGAGTTCTCGGACTGGCGCTGGACCCCCTCCCCGCACCCCTTGCCCAGTGTGCGGGCTTTGATGCTTTGATGCCTCGATTCGGCATCGTCTGACCCGTCCCCGCCCCACTGGGCCGTGGCATTTCAGCTCCCCACCTGTCACCAGCCCAACCTCCTGGGTGGGCAAGGGCCCCGCGAAACTCGAAGGAACAGAAGCCCGAGAGAGCTCGGCGCAGCCCGCGAGACCCAGTGGGCAGTCGACCAGTCTGGCCAAGGCCACACCAGTGGGGATTGGGACCAGTTGCAGTCAACCCGTATAGTAAGGATCATCCCAAGGGTACCCTTGCATCTTTGTCTCCACGGTCCATGCTCAACATTTTGGCTGGCCGCGCCCCGCTCGAAGAGCCTCCACATGGCCTTCCAAGGCCCTTGCATCCTTACCGCGCATCCTTATCATACAGGTTGACTCTAGTCGGCCAGTGGGGCCCAGGCCGCGCCAGTGGGGATAAGGGTGGGTTAATCGATGCTCATCGATGCCCTGCCTCTCGTTCTTGCTCCCTGGGCCGCCTGGCCACGATCGCCTCCGCTCCAGGGGGGAGGGGGGCCGCCATTCGGCTTCGGGCTGCCTCGGTTGCGCTCGTGCCGCCGCCTCGCGTCGACGTCCTCGTCGCCCCTCCCCCGCCCCTCGCGCTCGCTGTCAGCATGCCCCTCCGTGCTCATCCCCCCTCAATGCTTCTTCCGCCACTCGCGGGCACTGTGGTTAAGTCGGGCTTGAGGAATCTTCAAAAATAGTTTTCAAAAAGTCTGGGGACGTTGTTACGACTATTGGGGAATATGATTTTACTTGTTTTGAGTTGTCGCTCAAAATCCTCCTGTAGGAGGACATGCCCGACCTAACCCTCGTGCCCCCCTCCACAGCTCCTCGCTGTCAGCATGCCTCCCGTGTTCATCCCCCCTCACTGCTTCTTCCGCCACTCGCGGGCACTATAGGAAGGTGTAGAGTTAGGTCGGGCACCAACAGGCGGATTTGGGACGAAAAATAAGAAACGATCCAAACATATCCAAAACATAGCGAAAAATGATCAACAATATCGTCCCCATATTGAAGTGTAGAGTCAATTTCGCTGAGGTAAGCAGCTGCTCCGGTTCGGAAGGGGCGTGTTGCTCCTTCTGCCATTCCGTGGTGGTTCTTCTGGGCTCCTCGTGTGCCCAGGCGCCCAGAGGCGCAGAAGGAGCATCTTTCCAGCGTTCCTTGTTGCCTCCTCCTCCTCCTCCTCCTCCTCCTCTTCCTTCCCCTCCTCCCCCTCCTCCCCCCTCCTCTTCCTCCTCTTCCTCCTATAATCTCCTCCTCCTCCTCCTCTTCCTCCTCCTCCTCCTCCTCCTCCTCCTCCTCCTGAGCTTCGTGCCCTCCTCCTCCTCCTCCTCCTCCTCCTCCTCCTCCTCCTCCTCCTCCTCTATTGTCAGAGAGCCCAGCTTTTTCTGTAGCACCCTCTGATACCTGATAACTAGTCACTGGGACGGTTGGAGTTTTCGCCGCATGGCATCCGCGGCATACGGAGGGTGGCCGGCTCAGCTCTTGGCTCGAAGGCATGGTGTTGGTTATGATACAAAATTTTCACTGCATCCCTCGCACTTCATCTCCCTTGTCCCTCCATCTCTGCCCTCCGTCCCCCCCCTCCCCCCGCCCCTTCCTCCTGCGACCTCTCGTGAACCCTACGCCCGTGGGTGCAGGCGACGCTGGGGTATCGGACACCCCAGCTGGGATCCATTTGACTGCATACATCCTTCGACCTCTGAACCCCGGGCGGTGTGGGGTTGGGGTGGGGTGGGGTTCACCTGTGGGGTGGGGTTCACACGTGCCTGCTCAGTAACAGGTGGGGGAGGTTTGGCAAAAGGCCCCTCCCTCACCTGAGTCCGCGTGTTTCGCATCGGGCCGCTCCGGCTGCGTACGGCGGAAGTCTTCCGCCTCTGAGTGCTCGCCCTCCCCTCCCTCCCTGCGGCCGCCCTTCCCTTCTTTTTCCCTCCTCCTGCATGCTGGACACTTCGCTTTGTAGTGTCCCTGCATCGCTGCCACGCTGGAGCGGATCGTCCCGCCTCGCTGCCAACGGAAACATGTTTCGCATTTCCCTGTCAGAGCAGGGAAGATGGAAGGCCGAGCCGTCTTGGCCTCATGGTGTTGCCGCCCCTGGCCGTGGAACGCGACGGTTCCATGTCATGGCACTTCTTGGCCAGAGCGCTTCTTCCATCAGGCCAGCAATATTTGTTTTGGGAGGCTTGCGTGGGCAGATCAAACATGTCGTCCTCCTCATCCGCCTGCGCCGACGACAACGGCGACGACGACGACCACGGTTGCCGCGGCAGCGACCAGGGGCGCATTTGGGCGCGGCGGGTGTATTGCCCAGCCGCGGTGCCCCGCGCGCGCAGGGACGAGTACGTCTATGGCCTCGTGGTGTTGTCGCTGCCGGGGGCGGCCCGGGGGACCGGGAAAGCCCGCCTTAGGGGCAACACTCTTGTGTTGGAGGTCTTTGGATCGGGTTTCGCTTTCTCACGGTGTTGGTCGTCCTGTGCCGCCCACGTGCCCACGGCCTGATCCGCTTCGAAAGTCTGTTGAGAACGCTGTTGAGAACGCATCCCAGGAGAGTTCCAGGGAGAGAGCTCCAGGGAGGGGTTCTTGACCCAGCGGTATAATATGCTCTCGAGGTTCAGGTTCGAGGTTTCCGGGCAGTTTCCTCGGTTCTCGGCGGTTTCCTGCTCTGCAACAGCTGCGCCTCGCCGAAGGCGTTCTGGGGGTTCCTGGATCGCCCGACTGGCCGCCGGAGATGTCGATGCCTGTTGGGGGCCGTTTGGGGCCTCTCGGGAATTTTTTGAGCTGTTTGGGGGCGTGTTTTGGCCTCCTCTTGGGAGCCTCCTCTGCACCTCTGGGAGCCTCCTGGGGCCTCCTGGGGCTGAGAGATCAGATGTTCGGTTCGTGATCTCCTCTCCTGGGTCCCTTTGGGTTTTTTTTGGGGGGCCCTCTTGGGCCTTTTCGGGCGCCTCTTAGGCCGTCTTGGGGCCTTCTTAGGTTGTTTTGGGGTTGTTTTGGGGGGGGGCCTCTTTGGCTGTCTTGGGGCTCATTTGCGGGCCCCGTGGGCCATTTATGCTCGTCGGGTGGCCGGGAAAGCGAGAAACCCAGAAACCTTCAAGCACATATGGCAAGTCTGTGATGTTTGCCTTTGGGCGTCCTTTTCGGAGGCCTCTCGGAGGCCTCTTGGGGCGCCTTGGAGGCCTCGTGGGCCGTCCGGGGGGCCACCACCTTGGGCGTCTTGGGCCGATCCTGGAGGAGGAGGAGGAGGAGGAGGAGGAGGAGGAGGAGGAGGAGGAGGAGGAGCATGAGCATGATAACAAGACGAAGTCTTAAACTAAAAGCCACCCACTGACCGCCTCCAGGTAGACGAGGGAATGGTACACGTACGCGGCGAAAAACATACCCATTGATTCAAGGTTCGGCTGAGGTGAAATCGGCTCGATGCGGCCCTTATTCAATGATGTGTACAACACGAGCCCAAGTCTCGATACACAGCACTGGTCATCGGGCAACCCCTCAAAGGGATCGCCTCCTCCACAAACAGCCCCGCCATGCCAACCAGAATGCCGTACCCACGTACGAGACAAACTATTGAATTACACTGACGTGGAAGACTGCACGCCGAAGTTAGTGCATGATGCCGACACTACAAACCACGAGCTTCACCATTATTGAATGCAGAAGGACAGCGCCACCAAACAACGGTGATTGGAACAACCCTTGCACCCTCAGGTTCCTCGACACGCAGAACACAGACAAGCCAGCACCCATACATCCAGCGATGCAGCATCATGACAGCACGTGCACATTGACAAGGAAGCCGTACGCCGAACTGTGTGTAGCTATGAAGCCAAACCGACTGAATACAAACATTGCCGCGATCTTCACCGTTATTGCATGCAATGAAGCTGGCACCAAACATAAAGAGCGATGATGCCCATACCCCCTGCATCCTCAGGTCCCTCGAAGCGCGGCCCGACAGCTTGAAATAGTACGCTCGGGTGCGGGCGGGTGGGTAAATGCACAACCAGGCTCCCCCCATGGGCCCCGCACCCGAGACGGACAACGAGGAATGTGCACAGGAAAGCGGAGAAAAACTCCAAACCATCCAGTCCACGCCAGCCGATTCGCTTGAGAACCACTCACAAATGCAGTAGTACGGCACCTTGGCAGAACAAAATACAAAATTGAATGACGCCTGACTGCAAGACTTCGCCCCGCCCTTAGCCGATCAGGGAGGGAGGGAGGGAGGGAGGGAGGGAGAGAGGGAGGGAGGGAGGGAGGGAGGGAGGGAGGGCCGCCACGGGAGCCGCGCGCCACCGCTGCCCAAAAAAGCCCACGGGGCACGCGCCGAGCCCCGGGAGGCTTCGGAGATTGGCTTGGCATCGCTCGGACGTTCGGGAGCGGAAAAGAGGGGGGTGATGACTAGGGGGGGGTGGATTTCATGGCGCGGGCCATGATTTGTCCTCAGATTTCATGGCGCCTCTTCTTGTTTCATTACGTCCCTGGCCCCCCCACTGGGCCGCGCCCATGCCGCCGGTCATGATTTGCACCCCCCCCTCTTGGACACCCCCCTCTTGGCCGCTCCCGAGACGTGTGCAGTCTTCCTCTGGCGAGGACCATCGAGGAGCGTTCTTGATCATTTGGCGAAGAAGCTACGCACGGAACCGAAGGACACACAGGGAATGGACGCCCGAGCGACGGCCAGTTGGTGGGGTGTCGGGCCCCGAGAGCACTGCTCGGGGCCCGGGGCTCTCAGCGGGGGACTGGGCAAAAGGGGCCTCTGGGGACGCGCAGCGGTACGGCGGCGGATCTGGAAGCACCAGAGCAGCACGCGTGCCAGGAAGATTGAGATGCTCATGGCGTTTGCGGTGTCGAGGCTGCTATACTGTGTCGAGACACTTTTCTTCCCCGGGCTGAGAAAGACAACATTGACGCCTCCGAGGCCCGTTTTCCACGCACGGTCTACAATGTGCTAATGATCTTGCACAGACCGATTGGAGAAGTCAGGCGACGAGCCCGCCAGCACCGACTGAGCGTTATAGCGTTGATGCGAAACTTTGCGTTTTATGAGCGGATCTACTGATTGTTTTTCTGACGTTTGGTTTACCGGCATTTTCGCGACCGGCTTGCGTTCGGTCGCGGGGAGGACCCCGATTGAGATCGGCCACAATTGTTTGGGAGCAGGCGAAGCTAGCCATGACTTCCTGTCCCTGACCCATCCCGCCTCTCTCGCCTCCTTCCTCCCCTTTCCGTCCCTCCCTCCGGATGAGATTTTGAACGCATAGTCAGACACCCTAGTATTGCAGCGCATGGACAGCCAATGTCAAAAACAAATGTTTAACAACATGGACTTTTCATTGACCCTGTAGGCGCTCAGGTGTAATCTCTGATTGCCGCCCTTCAAAGCCGATGTTTCGTGCGACGTGGCGTTTGTGAGCGCCTGGCCTGTCACCACACGGTTACCCCCGGGAGGAGGATGATGAGGAGGCGGAGGAGGAGGATTTGGTGGAGGAGGTGCAGAAGGAGGAGGACGAGGAGGAGAAGAGAAATAGGATGAAGACGATGTCCTGATGATGATTGGGGGAGGATCAGGATAAGGATAAGGATAACGAGGGTGAGGAGGAGGAGGAGGTGGAGGAGGAGGAGGAGGAGGTCGAGAACGAAGAGTAGAAATAGGATGACGAGGATTGCCTGGGGAGAAGGAAAGGAGGATTAGGATGAGGATGAAGTTGGGGTTGAGGAGGAGAAGGAGGAGGAGGAGGAAGAGAATCGTGACGAGGAGAAATAGGAGGACGGTGCAGGAGGAGAGGTGACATCCGCACGTTTCCTGATGGTCTTTGTGGTTTTCGTCTGACCTTGGCGAGTGTTGAGAATGAACGACCGTTGTAGAACGTTTCCAGGAATTCCATAGCGGCTCGCATTTTCGTCCTTGTGCCGCGACACCTGTGAAGGCAATTTCAAATTATCGCAGCAGCCTCGTTGAGTTGTTTGATCGTTGGCATGGTTGTTCTCCTCTTGAGCTTCGGACGAAGTCAATGGCACAGCGTGCAGTATGACGTGTCCATTTTCATATTTTCGGCCCATCTTTAGCCATCGATCCCTGGGTTGTTGATCCCACGTCCTGGAAGTTGCTTTCACGTTGATGTTCAGGAGACTCCAACCCTTACCTCGCTTCTGTACTTTACAAGTTGACTGCGCACATGCCAGAGGAAGAGGACGATGGGGCTCCAAGCTTTCTTTCGAGAGGAGTTGGAGAAGGAGGAGGAGGAATAGGAGGAGGGGGAGGAGGAGGAAGAGGAGGAGAACAGGGAGAGGACGAGCGACCAGGAGAGGAGGGAGACGAGGAGGGAGCAGGAAGAGAAACAACTTTGTCAATTCGTGCCAGTGCCCCCCCCCCTTTTGGAGGCGGACGACGACCTGCTCGTGACAGGCGGTGATCTCTCTCTGCTCCGCCCGGGCATGTGGGTGGGCAGCGTGCCGCCCGCATGCCTCCCACCCGCCATGCATCCCTTCTGTCGTCCCGTCGTCTCACCCTCTCTCCCTCCTCCGCCGCTCCTCTGGCCCGTGACCAGGCTCGACCGGCGTGCCCTGGCCCGAGGCGGACGCGGAGGACGTCAGCGGCCAACTGGTGCCGGTCGACGAAGACGTCACGGGCGAGCTGGGCCACACGGACATATTCCTGCTCACGCTGACCTCTGCGGGCGCCGGACGACGACAGCGATACACCGACACCAGATTTTCTGCACGCGCGAAATGGGTACTGAAAGAATGGGTACAATGCCCAACTGCGGATCCTGTTCATTCTGAACAGGGCTCGCTGTCCACGCCGCCGCGGCCTGTGTCCATTCGAGACAGGAGGCCGCCTGCCCAACAGCGGCCGCTGTTGGTGTGGGACAAACATTTGCTGTTGGGCATTGTACCCATGCTTTCGGTACCCATTTCGGGCGTCCAAAGATTTGGCCGGGCCCACTCAGACCCCCGACGTCATGGTAGTTTCACGACGCGCACCTCCAGAGGTCTCGGCCCCTTCCTCGGGACACGTTTTTCATCCCGAGTGATTTTGTCTTTGTCCAGGAGCCCGCCACGGGTTGCCAGGGGCCCAACATGCAGTGGGAACCCACGTCAAGGCACACCCTGCTTGCCTCCCGGGTGCCCCTCGGTTTCGTGGGTTTCGGTGGCTATGCCATGGACATCGTGACGCTCCCGCACCAAAAAGCCCGGGGACGTCCCTGGGGCCTCAGGGTCGGGTTTCTTCTGGAAGGTCTCTCTCTTGTGGTCGGGCTCCCACTGTGGCAGGAGACCGCCCGTCGTGAGGGGATCATGGCCCGAGGGGGTCTGAGCATCCCCGGCCCAGGGTCGGCGCGCTCGCCCGCCCTGGCTCCGGGCCGGGGCGCGCCGCGCCCGCGCGCGTTCCTGGGCAGCCCCGGGGGACGGGCCTGGCCGCGGGTCCCCCCGGAGATCCCATGTGGCGAGGATCCCAGACCCCCTCGAGTAATGAAAAAATCATGACGGGAGCTTTTTCCTACTTTTCGGCCTCTGGGGGCCCTCACCGGGCCTCGGGAGCGTCAAAAAACGACTCAGGATGCAAAGCCGGTCATGGGGAAAGGGTCGGGACCTCTGGGGGTCGACGTAATGAAAAAATCATTACGTCGGGGGTCTGGGATCGAGGCAACGCCGCGGAGGAGCACGTCCGGAGCCCTATAGACCCCAGCCTTTCTGCCGCGTGTCTCGAGCCAGCTCCATCCGTGGTGGCTCCCGGGCCCAGAGCCGGGCGGGGTCGCCTGGCACGCGAGGGTGGCAACGCCCGGAGCTCAGGTCGGCGGGCGACGCCGCCGATCCGTGGTCGGCTCGTCGGCGTCGCTCGAGTGCAGCTGCGCCGCCCGTCCCCCCCGAGGCGAGCTGGGCCCGTGGCAGAAGCAGCTGCGCTCACCCGGCGACCAGCGGCCCACCGCCGCGGCGGGCGAGGCGTCGGGGGCGGCGCTGCGCAGGGTTGGGCTGGGCAGGTCCCTCTACAGGAGGAGTCGGCAAGAGCAGTCAACAAAAACGTGGTCTGGTGACGATTCCTCGTGTCCTTTTGCCTATATTGCTGAGCATCTGTTGATTATTGTTTTGTTTTGCCTCCCAAAGCCGCCTATAGGAGGACATGCCCGACCTAAACGGGGGGGGATAGGCCCAGGGAGTGAGGGGAGGATGACTCGGCCACGCGCAGAGGGGTAGGGGTAGGGGGGGGGCTTCTTAGAATCTAGGCCTCCTAGATGGTGTCCGAGTATCGGCGGTGGACATAACCCTCACCCTGACACGTCGATTAGTGAATTGTCCGTTTTCGATTCTCGAGAGGGCGCCGCGGCCGTCATTTTCCAGGCTTGCGTCCGCCAGGTTTGGGCCCGAGGTCATTTTCACCAAACCGCGTTTTACTAAACGGGGTTTTGTCCATCCCCGAGAGTAGATGGCGTCAGAGAATCGCGCCGCATCTGCTCCACGGTGGCGTCGCCGATGCATCGCCGATGTGTCGGCGGCGATGCGGCGCGATCCTCCGGCCCCCGTCTACCCCAGCCCCACCTGGGAGGCCTCTGTAGAGCCACTTCTGCTTCTCCGAAGGCGCAGGCCTTCTCTGTAGATGCAAGGCCGGCGCGTTCTCGGAAGCAGGCTCCTTCTAAGACGCCCTCCCCCTCCCCATACCCCTTTGTGCGCTCCGCCGAATCGTGGTATCATGTGCGGTCCCTGTCTTCCTTATCCATCCCCCCAGCCATCACCACACTCGTCCCTCGTCTCCTCCTCTTACTTCTCCTCTCCTTCTTATGCTTCTTCTCCTCATCCTTCCACCTTTCCTGCCCCTCTCCTTGCAGCTTTGCCTGCGCGGCAGTTGCTCAGGGACGCATCAACACCCGAGCGCCCGTTGATAGCCGAGAGGGGAGAGGGGCCCGACGCCCCCCCCCTCCCAGGACCGTGCAGACTTGCGATCGGAGGCACATCGCCGATCTGCCGGCGATGCGCCGATCGCAGGTCGAGGTCCCCCCCCCCGGAGTGGCGAGTCGAACCCTCCGATGAGACTGCTCTGCAGAGTCTGGCGATCAAGCAGGGCACCGGGGCCGCCTGCCCCTCTCCCCCCCCTCCGGATAACCTGATCTCGTCGGCTGCGCGAGTCCGAATGGGGTACGCAGTACCGGTGCGCGCGGGCATACGTGGGGTTGCCCAGAGCGAACAGGTTCGCTTATCGGCCGGCCCCCCACCCTCCCAACGGATAACCTGGAGATCTAGCGTTGCAAAACACAAGCAACATCGCAGAACATCAGGATTGGAGCCCCAGACCATAGACCACATCTTTCTGCACCTTTTTCCGAGCCCGATCTATCTGTCAGGGTCTCGGTGTCCGACACTGGGCAGGAATAACGCCCGCTGCGAAAAAGTTGCAACGCCAGGATCTCAAGCATCGCCTAACAAACAAAACGGTGTCATGCTTTTGCTTGGACGGCGTCAAGATGAGGATAGATCCGTCCAGAGCGTCCCAGAGCGCTCACAGAGTGTTCCGGAACGCTCTGATACAGTCTCGGCGCCATGTTCCAGAGCGTTTCCAGAGCCGCCGGTTCTCAGAGATTCTCGATCTGATCCTCGTCCTGGCTGCGTCTTAGTCCTCTCCCGTCCTAGTCCTCTCGATTCACCCTCACCCGATTGCGAAGGATTCAACTACAATGTTGCTCAATTTCGCTGTGGCTGGCGCGCTCGAGGAGGAGGGCCCGGTGAGAGTGGGGGTAGCGGCGACGGGCCTAGGGAAAGGGGAGGGGAGCGGCGAAAGCGACGACGACGACGACGACGACGAGTCAAACGGAACAGCCTCTTCCACACGCCGATTTTCTCAGTAGTTGACGCTCGCGTGAATTGACCGTGTTCGTTCGACAATGTTCGCAGATATTCTTGGGAATCGCGTTCAAACTAGACTCCGACCCTCCATCCCTCCAAGCTCCGCCGCAGGCGCCCGGAAAAAAAAAAATGTCTCTTTGTGGCCGTACCCCCAAATTGGAGGCATACCCCCCTGCGTTGCTCAGGACCCCCCAGGAATCCCAGGGGTCCTGATGGAGTCTGGTTGGTTTCTGGAGGATTCCTCCAACCCTCCAGTCCGGATGATTTCTTCCTGGACGCTCTCTTGGAACCGTTTCGGGCCCTACGGAATCCTTAGGAAACCTTCTTGAATCCTCTGGAATCCGTAGGGAATTCTTAGGAATCCGTTGGGGGTCCTGAGGGATCCTGAAGGAATTCTCCAGAATCCCGAGGGAATCCTCCGGCATCCATACGGATTTTTGGAATCCATAGGGAATGTATAGGAATCCTTAGGGAATCCTTCGGACTCACTGGGAATCCTTGGGAACCCTGCAGAGATCCGTAGGAATCCGCTGGAGATCCTTAGGATTCCTTTGGGAATCCTGAGGGGTCCCACGCCCTCATTGCCGCCCGCCCAGCCAAGAATACTTGACGTTGCGCGCCACCCCTAATTCAAATTGTTGACGCTTCGCGAATCCCCACCAGCACATCCAGAAACGATGCCCAGAGGAATGGCCTCGATCAGGGAAGTGGGCAGCACACAGAGGAAGCCATTCTGAGACATCTTGGGATATCTTGAGCCATCTTGGAGGTCATTTTGGGCTCTCCCAGGCGCTCTTGGAGTCATCCTAATCAGTGTCCCCCCCAAGAGGCCAACATGTGGCTTAGATCTTGTAAAATCAATGGTTTGGCATTCTCGCCGAGGCCTCTTGGAGCATCTTGGATGCCTCTGGGGGGTCTCTCGGGGACTCTTGGGGGTCTCTTGGGAGCCTCTTGGGGGAATCCTGGGGGCCTCTGTGGCTTCCTGGCCACCTCTCGGGGCCCTCTTGGGGCACCCTTGGTGGCCATCTTTGGGCCATCTTGGGTGAGATCGATCACAGGAGAGTGGTACGAATTACAGTCGCCCCCTCAGGAGGCCAAAATGGAGCCAAAACCCTAGTAAAACCAACGATTGTGGCTTCCTCGCCGAGGCCGTTTTGGACGCTCCGACGATTCACGAAACCCCTTGTCCAGGTCCATGGGGAGGGAGTAGGGGGAGGGGTAAACCCCTCCCCGAAGGGGAAGAAGGATGGGTGGAATAGGAAACGCTCTAAACCACCGACGCCCAGAGGGCTGGTGGGGTTCACCTTCCATGCTCAATCAGCAGGGCCGCGCACGCCAATAATCATTACGCTACCGAGGAACCCCACATACTTTATGTTATGTCTTGTGTGCACCGCACTATCACCACCACCGCTCTCATCGTCCATCCTCCTCCCCCCGTTTCTCATTCCCTGCTTTCCTCCGCTCTCCTGGATGCGCTCCCTCGCCCTCCTTCAATCCTCCTCCCACCGTTTCACATTCCCTGCTGTCCTCCGCCTTCTTCCTCCTCCTCATCCTCCTCTTCCTCCTCCTCCTCCTTCTCCGCCTCATCGTCCGCCCTGGACGACCGTCACGAATAGCGGTCGCCCTCAGATACCACCCTTTACGCATACTTTATTGTGTCGAGAACATGCCATGCTTCCTGTGCCTTGGACGACCGCTACGGATAGCGGCCGCGGTGAGAGACCACCTTCTGCGCACCCCCTATGGTGTCGAAAATTACCACGCCTGCCACGCTTTGCAAGCCCGCAACGGATGGGGAGACCACCCCAACGCACCACCTGTGGTGTCGAGAAAGTGCCACGCGTGCCGCGTTCTCCGACCCTGGCAGGCATAGAGGCCGCGCAGAGAGACCACCCCCTGCGCACCCCCATGATGTCCAGAATGTGCCATGCCTGCTGTGCCCTGGAGGACCGTCACGGATAGCGGCTGCTGTGAGAGTTTACCCTCTGCGCACCCCCTGTATGGTTTCGAGAATCTGCCATGCCTGTTGCGCCATGGTCGACCGTCACGGATATCGGCCGCGGTGAGAAACCACCCTTTGCGCACCCCTTTTATGGTGTCGAGACTATGCCACGTTTGCTGTGCCATGGACGACGGTGGCGGATAGCGGCTGCGGTGAGAGACCACCCCCTGCGCACCTTTATGGTGTCGAGAATATGTCATGCCCGCTGTGCCATGAACGACCGTCACGGATAGCGGCCGCGGTGAGAGACCACCCCTTTGCGCACCCATTTATGGTGTCGAACATATGTCATGCTTGTTGTGCCCCGGACGACAGTCACGGACAGCGGCCGCGGTGAGAGACCACCCATTTTGCGCATCTTTATGGTGTTCAGAAGCTGCCATGCTTGCTGTGCCATGGGCGACCGTCACGGATAGCGGCCTCGGTGAGAGACCACCCCCTGCGCACCCCCGATTGTGTCGAGAATATATCCTGCCTGTTGTGTCTTGAGCGGCCGTCACGGATAGCGGCCGCGGTGAAAGACCACCTCTTGCGCACACCCCATGGTGTCGGGAATCTGCCATGCCTGGCGTGCTTTGGACGACCGTCACGGAAAGCGGCCGCGGTGGGAGACCCCCCTTTGCGCACCCCCTTCTGATGGTGTCGAGAGTATGCCGTGCCTGCTGTGCCATGGACCACCGTCACGGATAGCGGCCGCGGTGAGAGACCACCCCCAGCGCACCCCCTGATGGTGTCGAGAATATGCCGTGCCTGCTGTGCCCTGGACCGTCACGGATAGCGGCCGTGGTGAAAGACCACCTCTTGCGCACCCCCTGTGGTGTCGAGCATCTGCCATGCTTGTTGTGCCATGGGCGACCGTCACGGAAAGCGGCCGCGGTGAGAGACCACCCCTTGCGCACCCCTTCCGGTGTCGGAAATATGCCGTGCCTGTTGTTCCATGGACGACAGTCACGGATAGCGGCCGCGGTGAAAAACCACCCCCTGCGCACCCCCATGGTGTCGAGAATGTGCCATGCCTGTTGTGCCCTGCAGGAACGTCACGGAAAGCGGCCGCGGTGAGAGACCACCCTCTGCGCACCACCCACGGTGTCGAGCATATGCCATTCTTGCTGCGCCATGGACGACCGTCACGGAAAGCGGCCGCGGTGAAAGACCACCCCCTGCGCACCCCCCATGGTTTTGAGAATGTGTCACGCCTGTTGTGTTGTGGACGACCGTCAAGGAAAGCGGTGACAGACCACCCCTTGCACACCCCCTGTGGTGTCGAGAATCTGCCATGATTTCTGGGCCCTGGACGACCGTCACGGAAAGCGGCCGCGGTGAGAGACCACCCCCAGCGCACCCCCGATGGTGTCGAGAATTTGCCATGTTTGCTGTGCCGTGGACGACCGTCACGGATAGCGGCCGCCCTCAAGGATCACCCCTTGCGCACCTCCTGTTGTCGCGCATGGGTTGCGTGGTGTGCGTGTCATGTGTTTGCGTGGTTGTGTGTGTGCTGTGCAGTGCTGTGCTGTTCTCAGCTGAGTTGTGCTGAGCATTGCTGTGTTGTGCCGTTCTGTGCTGCGCTGGTCTGTGCTGTGTTGTGTTGAGCAGTGCTGTGGAAAAAGGTAAAGGAGGGGTGTGTGTGTGTGTGCGGGAGACACGGGTGCGACGCGGGAAGGAAGAAAACCATAACCCCACCATAACCCCACTAGGCATGCGTTAAGTTTAAACAAATCTTCGTCGGCAATTTCAAGGTTACCCTGCAATTATTGCAATTTCAAACCCCAGGCCGGCCCCAGAACAATCATATCGAATTCAGTCTTGTTCCAGAGCATCTAGAGATTCCTGGGCAGTTCCAGGGTGACCCTGGAATTGCCCGACGAACCGCAGAGGAAGTAGCCAACGGATACGGCGGAACAGTCTCCAGCGGCACGCCATCTTTTCTCGTCGTCCTGGCTTCGCCTCAGTCCTGCCCTTGTCGACTAGACGCGAGAGTGACCTTTCGCCGGAGTGACCTTTGGTGCGGGCACAGATGGGTCCCCAGATGGCTGAACACGAAGCAGTAGCAGCTGCTTGCGCGCCTAGGTTTGGTCCCCCCGCGGCCCCAAAAGGTAGCGCACCGAAGGTCACTCTTACCCAGGCTCACTCTTGCGTGCAGCCGACGTTGCCCCTCGGAGGCGGCGGGGGGGCACGTGTACGTGGCGGGCGTCTCCTCGGGCAGCGGGCTCTCCCCGGAGCTGGGCGCCCCGCCACTCACGGCCTTCGGGGGCGAGGACGCGCGGGGGGGGGGGGGGGCAGCTGCGCGCGGGCGCTCCTCGGCTGGGCATCGCTCGGACGTGTGCGTGAATTGTTCGGCGAGGATCGGGGGACGAGCAGTGGCCTGGGCATAAATCTAGGCCTCCTAGATGGGGTCGGAGTTGGTGGGGTCGGAGGATCGCGCCGCATTGCCGATGCCTCGCCGATGTGGCTCGATGTGCAGCCCGATTTGCTTCGCGTCGACGTCGCCGATGCATCGCCGACGTCGATGATGCATCGCCGGTGCATCGCCGATGCATCGCCGATGCATCGCCGATGTATCGGCGATGCGGCGCGATCCTCCGATCCCATCTACTCCGACCCCATCTAGGAGGCCTCTAATAAAGACTCGGTGGAAATCCGCGCGGACCTCGCAATTTTTATGTATGCCATGTGTCGTTCCTTTTTTCTCGGCGAGGGCCATCGAGGAGCAATGTGGGACACCTTGGCGAACAAGAGTACACGCGCGACACCGAACAACGCACACGGAATGGACATCCGAGCGATGGCGAGTCGGCGGCGAGCCGGGGGGGGAGTTCAGACGGGGAAAAGATGCAGCGGCGCAAATAAAAGTTGGTTCCCATGGAAATGTGGGAAGCTATGAGAAGTGGAAGTGGATGCGTATGTCCCTGGACCCCTTCGGGAATTCGGAGGGGCGGGCCTCCTCAGAAGGCTTGGAGGGCCTCGGGCCTCCTGAGAAGTGTTCTGGCCCCTCCCCGAAAACGCAGGAAGCTTCCCAGAAGGCGCGAGCGCACCCCGCCGCCTCCTCCCCCCCTCCTCCTCTCCTCCTCGCTCCTCCTCCTCGCTCCTCCTCCTCCTCGCTCCTCCTCCTCCTCCTCCTCCTCCTCCTCCTCCTCCTCCTCGCTCCTCCTCCTCCTCCTCCCTGGACGGGCAGGCACCGCACCTTCGCGTGCCCAGCGCGTCGGGAGCACCGACGCCGCGTGGGCGGGGCCCGCGAGCGCACCCCGCTCCCCGTCGCTTCCCCCCCCTTTGGGTTCGCCTGGCATCGCTCGGACGTGTGCGTTTTTCTTTCGGCGAGGACCATCGAGGAGCATCCGAAGGATTGCAAAGGATTGCAAAAAACGAAGGATTGCAAAAAAAACAAGGATTGCAAAAAGGTTTTTTTGCAATCCTTCGTTCAAGGGTTTTTGTTGCAATCCTAGGTTTTTTGCAATCTTTTTTTTGCAATCCTAGGTTTTTTTGCGATCACTTGGCGGAACAACCACGCACGAAACCGAACAAAAAAAGCACAGGGAATGGACGTCCGAGCGATGGCCAGTTCGCCGCCGAATGCCATGCCCCCAGACAGCCGGCGTCTCGGAAATGTCGAGGCGGGGCTCTTTCATAGCCCTCGGCCTCGCGGGACCCTCACCGGGCCTCGGGAGCGTCACCAATCAGTTCGGGTTGAAGAAAACGATCCCAGGGAAGTGGTCGAGAGGTCGGGGGCCCGTGTCTTGAGACGCCGGATGTCTGGGCCTGGCCAGGGCCATATCTTAGCCTCGGTCCCCGCATCGCCTTTTTCGGAACCATCTTGTGGCGATGGGTTATTGCTTTGATTACGCATCGTCCCGCGCTCTCCTCTTCTCCTGCTCCTGCTCCTGCTCCTGTTCCTCCTCCTCCTCAAATCGGCTTTGAATCATTTGAGGTTTCATCACCATTTCCGTTCTCTAGGCCATGTACTATGCAAAGGAAATCAGTGTCCCAATTGCTTGGAGATCTTTTCTGGAAATACGACTGCTAGTAGACATCTTGTGGGTTCACTAGTCAGGGGATGGTGTTACGCAGGAGGTGGTCGCACTTGTGAACCATTGCGCTCAGTGGATGACCTTCAGTGCTTATTGTGTGAATATATTGCATCTTGCTACTCAGATTATCAGATCCACGTCCGCACGCATTTTCCTCGAACCTTGCTGCATGTGTACGATCGATACCGCCACAGCTACGTGTTTCCTGATGCCCGAGGGGGACGCTCCGATGGCGCCTCGCAGGCCGGCGTGGATGGCGAAGTCTTCAGAGGGACGAGACAGCAAGGTCGCCCGTGTCGGAGAGTCTCTCAAGGGCCCCCAAGAGGGCGGTCAGAAGTCCGCAGGCGGCAAGGGCAAGAAACAGTCCATCGACGAGCTAGTGGTAGTGTTGGCAAAGCTGGTGCTAAACGACGAAGCGGAGCTGCGCGCCTTAATCGGGGCGGTCTACGATACGTGGTTTCTACCAGTAGACAGCGCCGTGGTGCAAGCCATGCTCGAGGAGAATCAGTCATTCAATTCAGAGGCCCAGGCGGAGAGGGAGAAGGAGAAGGCCGCAGCCAAAGACGGAAAAACTTATCAGAAAGAGAAGTTGTGTGCCCCATTTCTTCGAGTGTTCTCGGCGATGGTGGAAGCAGCTACGGTCGGCTCGGAGTCGGAGGAGTTTCCCAAAGTGCAGGTGGCCGCGAAGGAGTACTGGGAGAATGTGGTGAGTACGGCAGCAGATCCAGTGATCCTGTGCGACGTGGTCAGGTTCTGTCGGGTCAAGCGCTTGAAGGGCAAGACGAAGGCAGGCGAAGGTATGGCCAACGTACAATTCCTGCTGGACACGACTCCAGGCAACAACGTGGGCGTGCAGCTTCTCGCGGCCATCAGGAACATGCTGAAGGCGAAGGGCGGGGAGCGCACCGTGGGAGGAGCACCTCGTGGAGTGTTGGCTCGCGAGGCGCAGCGCCTCCTGGACATAGCCAAGTGAGTTTCGATTGGTCTATGAGTGAGAGTGCCCAGAGACTTTTGCAGCGTGGTCATCTAAGTGAGGCTTCCGCCAGAATTGGATCTGGGCATCCTGCCCCGCCGCCGCCTGCAGTCCTGACTCCTACCCCTCTCCGTCCTCCTCCTGGGCTTGAGCTTCCTGGGGATCCTCCCGCCTCTTCTCAATCTTCTTTTGTTGTCGAAGCTGCTCCCGAAGTGGGGCCCGCGGTGGCCCTCCCTAGACAGCGACCGACGCGTCGCGGCAGGGGTGGTCTTGGTCTGGGTGGGGCGGCTCGCTAATCGCCCGTCGCTCGCCTCGATCTTTTTGCTCTTGAGTCGTGTCTCGGATAGAGTTTCTTTTCGGGATAGGTGCTCACGGTGGCAGCCACAGGCTGCGCGCCGCAGGGCCCGCCGCCGAGCCTGCGTCTGCCCCCGCTGGGGCGCAGGCCAGCGTGCCTGGCGGCACGGCGAGGCCTGCTGAAGCAGAACCTAGGCGCCAGCGCTGCTCTGACGGCGGTTGGATCATTGGCGCCCCATGGGTCTTGTCTTGTCTTGTCTTGTCTTCCTCCTCCTCCTCCTACTCCTCCTCCTCCTCCTCCTCCTCCTCGTCCCCCCCTTCTCCCACTCCTTGCCTCTACCCTCCGCATGTCTCTGTTTCGACACACCCCGTACACGTTTCGTGGCCCCACAGGTGGCCCCACTGAGTGCCTCCGTGGTGCAGTTCGCAGGCGTCCGCCCGACCCATTTCAGCACACCCCTCGCACGCTTCGTCGACCCCGTAGGGAGCTCCGCCGAGTGCTTTCGTGGCGCAGTTCGCATGCGCTCGCCCGACCTGTTTCGGCACACTCCACGCACGCTTTGTGGCCCCATACGGAGCTTCACCGTGTGCTTGCTTCAGTGGCTTCGTTCGCATGCGTCCGTCCGACCGATTTCGGCACAACCGTCATGCGTGTCGTGGCCATTAGGGAGTTCCACTGAGTGTCTCCGTGGCGCAGTTCGCATGCGCCCACCCGACCCATTTCGGGACATCCCTCGCACGCTTCGTTTCCCCATAGGAAGCTCCACCGGGTGCCTCCGTGGCGCAGTTCGCATGCGCCCGCCCGCCCCATTTTCGCACACCCGCTCACACGGTTCGTGGTCTCGTAGGGGGTTTAACCGAATGTTTCCGTGGCGCAGCTCGCATGCGCCCGCCCGACCCATGTCGACACGCCCCTCGCACGTGTTGCGGCCCCCCATGGGGCGCTCCGCCGAGTGCCTCCGTGCGTCCGCCCAACCCCGCTCGGGCGGGGCACCCCAATCACACGCTTCGTGGGCCCGTAAGCTCCACAGAGTGCTTCCATTGCCCATGGCGCAGCTCGCGTGCGACCTCCCCGACACATTTCGGTACACCCTTGTTCCGTGGCCGCTTGCATGCAGGCGAACCTGTCGACTCCGCGCCCTTGTTTCGTTCGGACGCGCGTGCGGATTGCTTCTGCCGCGCTGCGACGGAAAAGTTTCGTGGCCCCACAGGGAAAACTCCGTCGCAGGCCCCAGCGTGTGCGTTCGCATGCGTCCGTACGGCCCGATATGGCATACCTCTCGCACCGTTCGTGACCCCAGAAGGAGCTCCATATAGGAGGCCCCGGTGTCGGCGTACGCATGCCCCAATTCCGTCACACCCTTCACACAGTTCACCGAGAACGGTACCCACAACGCAGTACCCACGACTGCACATCGTTGGGTCCTTCGCCAGGACAATTTGCCACAGCCGGCGATTTCGCCGGGTTTCGTGCCCCAGGACCACCACGGATCGATCCGGCTCGAAAAGGTGCCGCAGGAAGATCGGGTAGGGCTCCAGTCGTGATTTTCCGAGATGCTGAAAGTTGTTCGCAGCGTCGGGTCTTAGGGCTTGCGCATAGCAGTTTTGCACGCTTCTCAGGGCTGATGTATGGCAAAACGACAAGTTTTCACTCCGGCCTTTGCCTTGACCTGGCCATGGCCTGGCTCTTAGTGGGCCATGGAAACGACAGGACCGTTTTTGTTACCGGTTCCGTTTTGCCGTTTTTGTTGCCGGTTCCGACGCTGTTTTTTTACCGGTCCCGTCGCCGTTTGTTGACCGGTTCGGGTTCCGGCTCCAATCCTAGCCGTTTTTTTGCCGTTTCCGGTCGCCGTTTCTTTGCCGTTTCCATTTCCAAGGGACACTTCTTTGGGAAACGGTGAAAAAACGGCCCTGCCGTTTCTGGGGCCCACAAGGCCTGGACCGGTCCCACGGCATCGGCCCACCCCGGCCTTCACCGCACCTGGCTGCAGCGCGGTTCAGTCCCCCGCTGCCGGCCCAGGGCCGCTCCGTGCCGGCCCCTGCTCGGCCCCTGGCTCGGCGGGCCTCCTTGCCCTTGGGGAGCTGGCCCCCAGTCGCCGTCAGTACTGGGCACGCTGTATCCGCTGGGGCGGGGCGCGTCGTGCCTTTCGGCCCTGGCCGTTACAGAGCTGTTTTCACTCTGGCCTTTGCTTGGACCTGGCGTGCTTACCCTGGCTCTGGCCCTTTCGTGACGTCCTCGACTCACGCGTCTTGACCAGTACCGGCGCTTGTGCGTGCACTTCCCTGGGCCCTGGTCCCCAGACACCGCCCGTCTTGGCCGTGTCTGGCTCCCACTCCGCCACTGGCGCTGGGCTCCGTCCCCCATCAGCCTCGGTGGAGGCGCCCGTCACCTGGCCTCCGGCTCTCTCTCTGTTCCGTTGTTCCGAGTGAGCCCTGGCGTTCAGGTTTCGCGCGTTCTGACCAGTCCTGGCAGTGCTTGCACTTCCCTGGCTCTGGTTGTCAGCTGGCCACCTGGGGTTCTGGCCCGCCGTGTCTTTGAGGAGTGGTTCAGCCTTCTTGTGCGGCCTGGCATGTCACCTGGCGGTCTGCTTCCCTGTCCTCTGGCGCCCGGTGGCGAAGAGGCCTAATTCTCGTGCCTGGTGATTCGCTCCCACGGTACTCGCACGCTGCAGCATCCCAGCCGCCTCCGCAGCTGGCAGCTTCACCCCCCGGCGCAGCTCAGCCTCGGCGCGGCTGCTTCCCTCGGTGGTAGGTCTTGCCTGCCTAATTAGCTCGGCGCGCGCGCCGGAAATTAGGTTACTCGTAGCCCGAGCTAACTCTGCTGACGCTGTCAGGCCCGTTGGCCTGCAGCCGCCCACGAGAGCTGACGGGAAAAGGGACGAAGGGACACATCTAGGGAAACAAAGCGAGCAACCAGGATGGACTGAGAGATCTCTGGGAGCAAGGGGGTGGCCTTGGAAGGCCTCTTCGGGCCATCCCTGAGGGCCGAGGGGAAGAGGAGGAAGAGAAAGAGGAGGAGGAGGAGGAGGAGGAGGAGGAGGAGGAGGAGGAGGAGGAGGAGGAGGCCTCTTGGGCGCCTCTTGGGGCACTCTTGGGGTCTGAAAGAGCTTCCTGGGGGCCTCTTGGATGGTTTACGGAAGCCTTCGGGGGCTTCTTGGGGCCCTCTTTGGCCGTCTGAGGGCGGTCCGGCCTTGTCTGACGCCGTCGAAAGCCGTCTTGGGGGCCTGTCTGGGTCGTCTTAGGGGCCCTCTTGGGGCATATCAGAGGTTCTTAGAGGCCATATTGGGCGTCTTGGAGGCATCTTGGGCCGTTTTGGGGCCTTTGGGGGGCCGTCTTTGGAGCCTTTTGGGCCGTCATGGGGCCATTTTGGAGGCCTCTTGGGCGATCTTGAGGGCCTCTTTCTTGTCTTGAGCCGTCGGAATGCCGAGAAGAAAAATCAATGAATTTGGCCTCTTCGTGTCCTCCTAGAGGACCTCTTGGAGGCCTCTTGGGCCGTCTTGGAGGCCTCTTGGGGGCCTCTTGGGCCGTCTTGCGCCATCTTGAGGCCATCTCAGGCCATCTTGGGTGCATCTTGGGCCGTCTTGGTGGCATCTTGGGGCCGTCTTAGCCGTCTTGGAGGCCATCTTGGGCGTCTTGGAGGCCTCTGGGGCCGTCTTGGGGCCCTGTTGGGGCTCTCTTGGGGAGCCCTGGAAGGACTCTTGGGGCCATCTTGAAGGCCATCGATCATTTGAGGAGATGGTGTAGCGTTCGGTCCCCCCCGAAGAGGCCAACATGGGCCCGAAACCTTGGTAAAAACAGTGATTTGGGCTTCCTCGCAGAGGCCCTTTTGGACGCCCTGACACCTCGCGGACCCCCCCCAAAAAAGTCCAGGGGAGGGGGTAGGTGGAGGGGTAATCCCTTCCCCGTAGGGGAAGAGAGGTTTTGTTGGAAGAGGGAAGAGGAATCTCGTTCGACCACCTGTCACCCAGAGGGCTGGTGGGATTGCCAACTGCCTGGGGGAGCGATCCTCGGGGACCTCGACAGGTGGCAGAGTGGATATGGATGTATGTGGACCCCTTGGGGCCGACGTGTGTCCACATCCACCGCCCGCGGGGGTCCCAGGACGTCGGCTCTCCCCGTGGACCCTGGCATGCGACGTCTCGGTTTCCAGCCATCCTGTGGTGTTAGGTCCTCGTTTCGAAGAGGGTGCCCGGCGCCTGCCTCCTCTCGTTCTCCCCCTTCCTCCCTCCCATTCCGGCACGCCCCGCGCACGACTTCGTGGCCCCGTACGGAGCTCCATCGAGTGCTTCCGTGCCGCTGTTCGCATGCGTCCGCCGACCCATCTCGGCACGCCCCTCACATGCTTCGTGGCCGCACGGCGAGCTCCACCGAGAGCCTCAGTGGCATGCATCCGCCTAGCTCATGTGGGCACACCCTTCACACAGTTCGTCGCCCAGTAGAGAGCTTCACCGAGGGACTCCGTGGCTCAGTTCGCATGCGCACGCCCGACCTGTTTCAGGACACGCCTCACACGTTTCGTTGCCCCACACCGAGTGCCTTCGTGGCGCAGTTCGCATGCGTCCGCCCGACCCATTTCGGCACACCCCAATCACACGATTCGCCGCCCGTAGAGAGCTCCACCGAGCGCTTCCGTTGCGCAGTTCGCATAGCGCTTCTGCTGAGCAGTTCGCATGCTTCAGCCCGACCCATTCCAGCATACCATTCGTACGTTTAGTGGCCCCACACGGAGGTCAACCAAGTGCCTCTGTGGCGCAGTTCGCATGCCCCCGCCCCACTTATTTTGGCACACCCCATCACGATTCGCCGCCCCATGGGGAGCTCCACCGAGAGCCTCCGTGGCGCAGCTCGCATGCATCCGCCCGACCCATTTCGGCACGCCCTCAACACGTTTCGTGGCCCCACCGGGATATTCGCCAAGTTCTTCCGTGTTGCACTTTGCATGCGCTCGTCCGACAGATTTCGCCAAACCCCTCACGTGGTTTGTGGGGTCATCGGGAGCTTAACCGAAGGTCTCCGTGGCGCAGTTCGCATGCGTCCGCCCGACCCACTTCGGCACAGCCGTCACACGGTTCGAAGCCCCATGGGGAGTTCCACCGAGTGGTTCCTTCGCACGTGTTCCCCCGACCCATTTCGACACGCCTTCAGCACTTTTCTTGGCCCCAGAAGGGGGCTCCACCGCTTGCCTCCGCTGCGCAGCTCGCTCGGACACCACCAATACGTTTCGTAACCTTACAGGGAGCTCCACCGAGTGCTTTTGTGGCGCAGCTCGCATGCGTCCCCCCGACCAATTTCGGCACATCCCTAATACGTTTCGTGGCCCCATGGGGAGTTCCACCGAAGGCCTCAGCGGCTGCGTTCGCATTGCACCGCCGCATCCGTTTCGGCATAACCCTTGCACGTTCCGTGGCCCCACAGTGAGCTCCACCGAAGTCCTCAGCGACTGCGCTCGCATGGCACCGCCGCATCCGTTCTGACGCAACCTGTGCACGCTTCGAGGCTCTTTAGGGAGATCCACCGAAGACACCAGTAACTACGTTCGCATAGCGCCACCGCGCCTCACCCCTCACACCCTTCATGGCCCTCAAGAGAAATCCACCGCACGTGGTACCCACAACGCGGAAATCCGTCGAGCCGCATCGCGATGCGGCGCGATTCTCCGACCCCATCTATTCGGACCCCATCTAGGATGCCTCTAGACCCTCCACCTTCCACAACTTCCGACCAACAGGTGGCTGATTTGGTGATCTTCTGTAGGGGCAAGAGCGGCATAAACAAATTCTCGGCGCTCCAACAGTTTGTGTGTTATCCCATCTTCTGCCTCTCAAGAAGATTGCTAAATCAGCGACCTTCTGGTCGGGAGTTGGGGCAAGTGCAGTGTCATGGTCCCGATGGCATGTCCTTCGCCCCGAGTCGTTATCTCGACGGTCCCGGCGGCGAGGGCTCCCCCGGAGCCCGAACGTTGTCAAAACCTTCTGCCGTGATGTTCACGGCGCGAGCATGGCTGGGTTCGGTGGCAAATCATGGGAGCCTGGTATACCCTATTGATTCCGTCTTTAGCGTCGACTAGTTTCGATTAGCGTCTGGGAGTCGATGAGACAGCGCCGATTTCGCGTCGAACAGCGTCGATCTGGCGTCGATGAGCGTCCATGTAGCGTCGATCAGCGTCGGTCCGCAAGAGCCGGCAAGATGGTACGTGGGAGGCTCCCGTGAGCTGCTGCCGAAGGCCGGGGAAGGCGTGCCCCCTTTTGCGCGGAGGACGCGCTGCTGATGAAGCTGATCTGGGGGCGCGCGGCGGCGCAGTGCTTCCGGGGCTCGCCCTGCGAGGTGGGCATCCCCGAGGGCCTGGGCCTGTCGCCGGGGGACGGCGCGGTGCTGGCGGCGGCGCGCTGCGGCCTGAACGCCTCCATCCTGGCGGCGCGCACGGGGTGGCGTTGGGATGCCGCTCCTGGGAGGTATCCAGGGATTCAGCATTGGGTCGGCGATCCTGAGCACACGTGTTAGCCCCAGTGTGTGTGCGTGTGTGTGTGTGCGTGTGTGTGAGTGTGTGTTCGGTGTGTGTGTGTGTGTGCATCGTTCTCCATCCCCCGCGCATTGCGACTTAACTCGTGTTCCGTGCATCCCACTTACGCCCCATGGCGAGCGCAGTGACTCTGCCTAGCCGCCGACGGAACCAGTGTGTGTGTGTGTGTGCGTGTGTTCGGTGTGTGCGTGCGTGCGTGTGCGTGTGTGTGTGTGTGTGTGTGTTCGTGTGTGTTCGCGTGTGTGTGTGTGTGTGTTCGTGTGTGTATGTTTGCGTGTTTGTATGTTTGTGTGTGTTTACCCCGCTCAGCTCCAGCGATAGCACGCAGCCTGTGCCGGCTCTCATTGCATCGCCTGCGTCGTACTGCGTGGTTTCGGTGGACAAGCAAGCGCACGTTGCGCCCTGAGGAGCACCGAATGGAGCTGGTATATCCATGGCCTGAGTCCGGCCTAATTTGGCGCAGTCTTGCTTATTCTAGTTTGGTCCCGTTTAATGCGGCCTAGTCCAGCTCGATACACTGTGTTTTATCTGGGCTGATTCGATTAATTTGCCCATACAGTGGGAAACTCATGCCAAGAGACACCCTGCTTACCTCCAGGGTGCCCTCCGTTTCTTGGGTTTCGATGGTTTTGCGATGGAAAGCGTGAGGTTCCCACACCAAAAATCCATGGAGGTCCTGGGGTTCCAGGGTTGGGTTTCTTGTTGAATTTTTCTTGTGATCGAGCTCCTGCTGCAACCGTTCTTACGAAGACCTCTCAGGAGTTGCCTCCTAAGTGGCGGCGTGAGGGGTGCGGCCTTTAAGAGCCGAAGAGGAGAACAGCGCGTAAACAAACTGTCGGCGCTCCGCGCAGATTTCTCTGATCGGCGGCGTGCCTTCCTGGCTCAGAGGAGGACGAGGTACCCATACCGCTACCCTCCGCCCGTTTCCCGCCTGTTGGGCCTCCTCGGAGGCCCTCGTCGATTCGCCTCGGGAAATTCAAGTCCGAACGCACTCCGGGAGAGGTCCCGGGGAGTGGCGGTATCGGTACCTTTCTGTGGCTTCCCCATCTGGCGCTTGCGCCTGCGCGCTCCGCGCGCCGGGGACGGGGGTCCGGCGCCGATCCGAGATCCATTCCCGTGGACATCCGATGCCGTGTTTTCTCCGTGCTCCTCTGAGAAGGGAGATGGCTGGGAGCATCTCTCAGAACGCGAAGGGGGGCCTCGCGGGAGGGGCCGCAGGCTTCCAGGAAGGCCTCTGTTCTTGAAGCAGCGTGGGGGGCTGCTGAGAGAAAGGGCCCCCCCTGCCTTCTCGCAGGGCCCCCCCGCCGCCGTCGCCTCAGCAGTCAGGCCGCCCCCCCTCGCGCCGCCCCCCCTTCCCAGACCCCCCCGACGCCCTCCATGTGAATCCCGGGCCTCCTGTGTTGGGTCCTCGTTCTGAACATGGAGCACCGTGGCCGCCTCCCCTCCTCCTCCCTCCTCCCGCTCCTACCTCCACACCTCCCGCCTCCTGCATCCTGCCTCTCCTCTACCTTCTCTTCCTCCTCCCTTGCCTCTCCTTCGTCCTGCTTGCGTTGCAGTGCCGCTGGGACTCTGCCTCTCTCGTGCGCTCCTGGGAAGGGGGACCTCGCGGCTCCCTGGGCGGGGCTGCGAAGTGCGCAACTGTCGCCAGTTTCGTGGGATCTTGGGAGGCTCAGCGGATTGGAGTTGTAACCGCACCCAGTCGAGACGTCGCGACTCCCCTGCGGGAGCTGCGAACTGTGCAACTGTTGCCACTATCGTTTGCTTCTGGGGGGTCACAGCGGGCTCCCTGGGTGGTTGCGAATTGCACAACTGTTGCCACTTTCGTTGCCCTCTGGGAGGCCCAGCGGAGTTGGAACACGCACCCAGTCGAGACCTCGCAGATCCCCCGTGGGGTGCTGCGAACTTTTGCAACTGTCACCACTTTCGTGGGCTCCTGGGAGGCCAAGCGGAGAGGAGTTGAAAACGCGGCTCCCTGAGTGGGCTGCGATGTACGCAACTGTCGCCCTTTTCGTGGGCTCCTGGGAGGCCCAGCGGAGTGGAGTTGTAAATACACCCAGCCGAGACCTCGCAGCTCCCTTGCGGGGGCTGCCAACCTTGCAACCGTCACCACTTTCGTGGGCTCCTGGGAGGCCAAGCGGAAAGGAGTTGAAAAACATCCAGCCGAGACCTCGTGGCTCCCCTGCGGGGGCTGCGAAGTGCGCAACGGTCGCCACTTTCGTCGGCTCCTCTGAGGCCCAGCGGGGTGGAGTTGGAAACGTTCCCAGCCGAGACCTCGCGGTTCCTCGGGGGCCTGCGAGCTTTGAAATCGTCGCCGCTTTCGTGGGCTCTCCTGCGGGTCCTTCAACGTGTTCGTTTGTATTCGTCGGTCCTGTGTATCGCTGCCGCATGTGTAGAAAGGGTTGGGTACGTCGCAGGGTCATTCAGAGCCTGGACCCCACGAGGTCACGACACCTTGCCCCCAGGCCGGCTTCTCATCCTGAGTCGTTCCTCGACGGTTTCGGGGCCTGGCAAGGGCCCCCCAGGGCCACAAGCGGCAAAAAGCCGCCCGTCGCGTTTTTGCTCGTGACCCGAGGGGGTCTGGGCTGTGCGCGTTGCCAGCCATGGCCCCCGGCATGCCGGCCACGAGCGCCGACGGGACGCCGGTGTCCGACCCGGAGGTGACGACCTGGCAGCAGCTGGGCTGGGGCAACAAGTCCGAGGGGCGGGTCGTGGAGGCCGACCTGGGCAGGCGCTCCGAGGGGAAGAAGGCCCCCGATGCCGACGCCCTGCCCGCGGTTTCTTTTTTTTGTTTGGGGTGGGCCTCCCGGGACCCCGAGCGCCTAGCGGTAAGTCGGGCGTGTCCCTCTTCAGGAGGAATATACAACGATCGATATAAAAAGAATGCGGGGGCGATTTTTCCATTACTTTGGGCAATTCTTGAATATTGCTATTTCTGAATTTTCGCACGAAGTCCGCCGGTACACACATGGCCGACCTGATCCTAGCGATCTATTTCTTTTCGAGCCGGGTGTGTTCGGTCAATCTCGGACCCTGGCACCCTCACAGATCGATCCAGCTTGAAAAATGATGCAGAAAGATGGGGTCCAGGGGTCCAGTCGTGACCTCCTGCGATGTTGCATGTTTTCTGCAACGTCGGATCTCAGGGTCCTGGGAGGCCTCTTGACAGTCTGTGGGCCTCCTGGGAGGCCCTCGTCGCCACGGCCAGAGTCGCCTCGAGAGCTTGGTCGGAGCGCAGCCCCGTGAGGAGTCCGGGGAGCAGCGGTCGGGGCTCGGGAGGCGGCCGATGCCAACGGGGCTCCGCCAGAGCGCCGGATCTTGCGGGATCCTGCAGGGCCAGGGTCGCACTGGCCCGGGTTTGGGTGCAGGGTCCTGCGGGCTCTTGCCAGATCCCTCGCCTGGACCCGGGTCTGGGTGCAGGATGTTGCAGGAGTCTGCGAGGCCTGACCGACCCGGGTCCGCATTGGCCCGGGTCAGTAGATCCCCGAAGCGGTTCTGTGTCGGTACCCTGTTGGCCTCCCCAGGTACGTGCTGTGCTGGTGTGCGAGCGGCTGCGACGGCGACGCGGTGCCTCTCGAGGTCGGCGTCGTGTTCGTCGTGGGCGCAGACTCCGGGCAGGACAGGAGGGCACATTCCCGGAGCCCCGCAAGTCCTGGTCCAGATCCTTGGCATCGCTCGGACGTGAGAATGTTTCCTTCGGCGAGGACTATCGAGGAACATCCTTGAACAAGCCACGCACGAAACCGAAGAAAAGCACAGGTAGTGGACGTCCGAGCGATGGCGAGGATCTCAGAGGAGGAACAGGTACCCATACCGCTGCCCTTCTGCCGTTTTCCCTTTTTGGCCCTCCTGGGCGGCCCTCGTCAAGTCGGGCATGTCCCTCTAAAGGACGAATCTACAAAATAGTTATCAAAACATAGTCTCGGGACGATCTATTTTATTATTGTTGATCGTTTGTTTTTGGGTATGCTTTAATCTTTCGTCCAAAATCCGCCTGTAGGAGGACACGCCCGACCCATTGGTAGCGGTATCCGTACCCTTCTGGTTCCCCACAATCACGACGGGCTTTTTTCGGCCTCGGGCCCTCACGGGCGCCGGGGCCGTCCCCGAGGATGACTCGGTCTGAGAAGCCAGGGTCCCGCGGAGTGGATCGAGAGCTTTCGGGCTCGGGTCGACCTCGTGAAGCACATCATGACGTCGGGGGTCTGGGTTAGGGGGACGAGCTCTGACATAAGCATAAAAAAACTCGGAGGTCCGCGCGGATTCCTCGGATCCGCGCGGGCCTCCGAGTTTTTAAATTCATGTCATGGTTCGTTCCCCTTAAGGGTTCTGATCCGATCGATGCTGTTCGATATCGACATCCAAAGCCGATATGATTGCGATATTCTGGCGGTTTGATGAGGTGCGCAGCCCGATCCGATGCACGTTCCAGGTCGATCCGTTTTCCCGATTCGATGTTCATTATCCTGCAGGAGCGCGAGTGCGTGGCGGGCGAGATCTGTGATATCCAGTTGCCTACGGCAAGTCCCGCCTCCGTGCCAGCTCAGCAATTTGGGTGGCAGGTGTTCGAAGAGCTCACAGGAAGCCGTAAGGCGTGAAGCTTCGCGTCCCGATGACTCAGAGAGCTGGACCATGTGACACGCGTCTCTGCGCAGTGCCGGGGTGCCTCTCCTCGCGATCGTCAGTTTCGTCCCTTCTTACGATTCTTACTAACGGGACGTGCCCTAATTCTCTTGTATGTTGTGTCTTCGTTATGAATCCGCAGCGCCGCGCGTCCTTCACCTCATTCCCGCTCCTCCTCTCCCCCCCCCCCCTCCACCTCTCCCATTTCCTCGTCCTAATCCCAAGTCTTATGTGTGTGTTGGCTTCGTTTTGATTCCGCAGCTTCGCAACCCCGTAGTGAGTTACACCCAGGGCCCCTGTGTCAGGGTCCGCATGGCGGCACCCCGCACATTTCGGCGCACTCCTCGCACGCTTCGTGGCCCCACTGGGTGCCCCATCGAGGGCTCAGTGGCTGCGTGCGCATGCCGTCTCGGTCCCATCTCGGCGCACCGTTCACGCTTCGCAGCCCCAAGGGGAGCCCAACCGCAGGCTCAGTGGCTTCGTTCGCACGTTGTCTTGGGCCCATTCTGGCACACCCCTCGCGCGCTTCGTGCTCCCACAGGGAGCTCCCACAGGGTTCTTGTTATTATGGAGACGCTTCCGCCTCCTCACTCACTCGACACTCCCGCATCCGCCTCCCTCGCATCACACTCAGGTCACTCACACTCAGACTCACTCAGACGCTTAATTCACTCAGAGTCAGACTCATTCACACTCAGAATGCAGATCGTGAGGATGTCCCGAGCGAGGCGCTTGCTTAGGCACCTCAAGGGGGGTCGGCAGGGGTAGAACACTCGCCTGCTCGCGGCCAGATTGTGAGGATGTCTCAGACGTGTGTTGCGCCTTTCGAGGCCCAGCCTGCTTTGCTTTCAGAGCAGATCGGGAGGACGTCCCGAGCGAGGCGCTTGTTTCAGAACAACTCCCAAGGGGGGAAGCCGCCAAGGGGTATGGCAGTCGCCCGTGCGCGGCCAGGTTGGGTTAATGTCTCAACCGGCTTGCGTGTTGTGTAGCCTAGACGCCTTTGCTTCCAGAGCCGATCGTGAGGATGTCACGAGCGAGGTGCTTTGTCTTAGCACCCCCACGGTGGAGCCGCCAGTGGGCGTTACGCTCGGCCAGATTGCAGGGATGCCTCAAAAGGTGTGCCAGCTCTGTGGCCCAGACTCCCTTGCTCCCAGAGCAGATCGTGAGGATGTCCCAAGTGAAGCGTTCGCTCTAGCACTCCAGTTGGGATCCGCTGGGCGCCAGGGGGTACTACACTCGCCCGATCGCGGCCAGATTGCGGGGATGTCCCAGGCAGTTTGCTTGTTCTGTGTCCCAGACTCTTGCTCTCAGAGCAGATCGTGAAGATGACACGAGCGAGGCGCTCGTTTCGTAGTTGGGACTTCTTTGCTTTCAGGGCAGACTGTGAGGATGTCTCGAGCGAGACGCTGGTTTCAGCTCCCTGGGCGGCGGGATCGTGGGGATGTATCGAGCGAGGCGCTCGGTATTGCACCTCTGACTCCTGTCCACTCAGCGCCCCATGATTACTTTGATGTAGGAAGAAGGACGGCCGCCATGACAGAGGAGGGAGGACGGACGAGGAAGGTGGAGGACACAGGAAGATGCAGAAGGGAGGGGGGAGGAAGAGAAGGGAGGGGGTACGACGAGGAGTAAGAGGAATGAGAGGGGAATTGTCGTCGTCACTGTCCCGCATCCTAGCCGCCGCCGCCGCCGCCGCCGTCGTCGTCGTCGTCGTCGTCGTCGTCGTCGTCGTCGTCGTCGTCGTCGTCGTCGTCGTCGCCGTACTCGTCGCCGTACTCGTCGCTGTACTCGTCCACTCGGACTCGCTTTCACGCCCAGGCTCTCACAGTGTGACGTGCCAGAAAATGCGATGCACGTATGGGGGTCTCCGCGTCGAGGAGCTGTTTATTTTGATGTTTTAGCTTAGTATGTTGTTGTGGTGTACGTTTCGCTTCACATTATTGTTTTTGGTACTGATCACGCTTACTTCTGAACATGTAGCAGTTGATTCGTATGTCAATGCCCAGTGCCATCACAGTTCTCTCAGCATTGATGTGATGGTCAGCAATCGCATTCGTATGACCAGTGTTTCTGGAGGGCCTCTAGGAAGCCGTTCTACAGCCTCGTGGGGCCTTTTGGGGCCTCTTGGCTTCGTTTAGGCCGTCTCACGGGGGCCGTCTGGCGCCTCTCTGGGCCGTCCTGCGGGCCTTTCTTCTGGGCCGTCTTGGGGCTCTCTCCCAGCCCTGTGCGAGCATCCTGCGGGCCTCTCGGGCTGCCTTGGGTCGGGACGATCGACATGGGTACGGAAAGAACGGGTACAATACCCAACAGCAGTTTCTGTTCATTTTGAAGAGGCCTCGCTGTCCGCGCCGCCGCGGACGTTGTTCCTGGGAAGACAAAAAGCCGCCTGCCCAACAGCGGCCGCTGTCGGTTTTGGACAACCTTTGCTGTTCGGCATGGTACAAATTATGTTGCGTACCCATTCCCGGCGTCCAGATCGGGATTTCTTTGGGTCGTTTGGGGGCCATGTTGGAGTCCTTCGGGCCATCCTGAGAGTCTCTCGGGCCGCGTGGGGGACCTCCTGGGCCGTCTCTTGGCCATGCTGGAAGTCTCTTGGCCCGTCATGAGCCGACGGAAGCCCGAGACGGCGAGAGCGCGAAGATCGTGCGAAAACCAAACCACACGAGCAGCAATGAGTTTGGCTCCTGCGGGTTCTGTTGTGGGTCCTGTCGAGCCGTAGTGGGAGCCTCTTGGGTCGTACTGGGGTTATTTTGGGCTGGCTTCGAGGCATCTTGGCATCCCTTGATGGCATGCCCTGGTGTCTTGACAGCCGTCTTGAGCATCCCGCAAGCCTTGTGAAGCACCAGAGGGGCGTCGAGGCGCCCGAGGGAAGCCTCAGCGGGAGGGCGGTGCAGGCGCGCGAGTGTCGGGAGAGGCGGGGGACCGTCTTAGACGACTGCAGGCAGAAACCCCACCAGGCAGCACTTGGCGTGCCACCCCGCCCCAACGCCTCAGGGGGCACCGTGGCGGATCACTGGGCTCACGGGGCGCGACTTCAATCCGTGGGACCGCATCGCGGCGATGGACGTGTGCGCGGGCTCCTTCGTCGTGGGCTTCCCCGACGCCGGAGTCACTGAGGGGGCGACCATCTTCCGGTCCACGCTGCCCGACGCGCTGGAGTGCTCGACCGTGAACCCCGCCGACCTGGACACCGTCGCGTCGAACTGGGGCTGCTACCGCGCCTCTCCGAGCGGCGGTGCCTACCGGCTGTGCTATTGTACGCCCCGCGGGGCCGCCGGCGTGGCCAGCTGCGCCCAGCCAGAGGACTTCGGCTTCGACATCGGCACTCTCACCGTGCTCGGCCCCAACACGTCGCAGCGGCTCACTCGGCAGCAGACCATGGGAGCCTTGTACACACTCTCTCAAGTCCGTATTCAGCGTCGATGAGCGTCTGGGAGTCGATGAGATGTAGCGCCGATTCAGCGTCGGCTGGCGTCGATTTGGCGTCGATCAGCGTCGACTTGGCGTCGACGAGCGTGGATCCGCAAGCGCCGACCAGATGGTAGGGGAGGCTCCCATGAGTTGCCGCCGAAGGTTCAAGTGCGTCAAGGGCCAGCCCTGCGAGATCTCCGACCTGGCCGGGTTCGGGCTCGAGGATGGCGACCTGGTGCTCATTCTGGAGGAGTGCGGGCTCCCGAGGGCCGAGAATACCTCGGGCCCAGTGGCGATCAGCGGAGTGGCTGGGCTCACGGAGTCCGCCGCCGTTGCCGCCACCAACGGGGGCTCGACATTCACCTTCCCAGACGTCGTGAGTGCCGAGGGCGGCGATTACCGTGTCTGCTGGTGCCGCCCCTCGGCGTCGCTGACAGGGTGCGCCAACTCGGTGGACTTCGCGGCCGACGCGGGGCAGCTCACGATCGTGGCGCCCGTGCTCGACCACCTGCGGAAGTGCTACCGGGGTGCGCCGTGCGCCATCGGCGACCTCGAAGGCTTCGGCCTGGCCGACGGAGACCTCGTGCGCGTGCTCCACACGTGCGCGGGCGGCGACGAGGCGCTCGTGGCCCACTGGCCCGACGAGGGGCTGTCCCAGGCGGCCGAGGCCGGCGGCGCCTCCGTCTCGTGGGGCGCCCAGCCGGTGTGGTCGGAGGCGGGCAGGTGCTCGCGGGCAGGAACCCAGACATGCTCGCGTCGTGAGGACGTCAGGACGGAAGGCCCTCGGCAGATTTCAACCTCCAGCCAGGCAGCAAGTCGGGACGGGCAAGCGGCCGTGGGGGACGGGTCGGGATTTCTTCGGGTGACCCCATGTTCCAGGTATCGGATGTTTGGGAACACGCTGGCCGTGACAGAAAGATGTCTCGGGAGCGTGTCGATGTCGATCTTGGTCATGGTCCGTGCCAGCCGTGGCCGATTCGCGGGGATGATCCACGAGTTGACGGTGCGACCAAGACGGACGGCGACCAAGATCGACACCTACGCTTACGCAGGTGGAAGTCGATTTGTGGAGAGGAAGCATGCTGCCACATAATTTCCAGATGGTTGAAACATGTTGAAACTATTCAAAACATATTATGTTTGAAACAGTGTGAGAACATGGTTTACACATGTTAAACACATCTTCATTTCAAGGATAGGATTGTTAGAGTGGCCATTGTCATGGCATTCACGAGCTTACGCGTTCAGTCTCGGTCGTGGTCACCGTCCGCCAGACATTCGATTTCTTGATCTTCTCAGTACAACGAAGGATTGCAAACAAACCCAGGATTGCAAAACAAAAAAACATGTATTGCAAAACAAACATGGTTTTTTTTGCAATCCTGCAATCCTTCGTTTTTTTTGCAATCCTTCGGTCCTCAGAAGGCATGACCCGCTCCCCGGGGCAGTTGCTTCCTCCCGAGTCGACTGTTGACGGTCCTGGGGCCCGGCGAGCGCCCCCAGAGGCTGAACAGGAGGAGGAGGAGGAGAAAGAGAAGGAGGAGGAGGAGGAGGAGGAGGAGGAGGAGGAGGACGAGGACGAGGACGAGGACGGAGGAGGAGGAGGAGGAGGAGGAGGAGGAGGATACCGAGGAGGAGGATACAGAGGAGGATTCAGAGGAGGACGAGGACGAGGAGGAGGAGGAGGAGGAGGAGGAGGATACAGAGGAGGAGGAGGAGGAGGAGGAGGAGGAGGAGGAGGAGGAGGAGGAGGAGGACGAGGACGAGGACGAGGACGAGGACGAGGACGAGGACGAGGAGGAGAGGAAACCCGCTCCTCGTGCTATTTTTTCTCGCGGCGCGAGCCTGTCTGGGCCGGCCTCTCCAGGTACGCCCTGTGCTGGTGCATGGGCGGCGGCACGTGCGAGCAGCTCGGCGACTTCTCGCTGCAGATCGGGGAGCTCGTCCTCGCCGGCCCCGCGAGCGGCCAGGCGCCCGTGGCCGTTGGGGGCCACCCGCTGCTGCTGGGCGGCCTGCGGGCCTTCGGCCTGGAGGAGCAGGGGAACAAATAACTGCATAAGCATACAGATAGGGATGAGAAACATACACAGACGCAACGAATCGTCGATTCCCAGGAAAGTATTGGGAAAATATGGGAAGTGGGGGGAAGACGAAAACCCTTCTAAAATATTGGAGACTATGGGGAATAGTTTTACTTGTGTATGCTTGTTTGTGTGTCCTTGGGCCCCTTCAACAAACTCGGAGGTCCGCGCGGATTTCTCGGATCGGCGCTGGACCCCCCTCCCTGGCGCGCGGAGCGCGCCAGGGGCGGCGTCGGAGGCGCCGCCAGGGAGGGTTCAGCGCGGATGCGAGAAGTCCGCGCGGACCTCCGAGTTCTTTCATGTTTATGCCATTCTTCATTCCTCGAAGGAGGGCTCCCTGCTCGCGGTGCTGCCCAACGAGAGCGGCTGTCAGGGACCCGCCGAGGCCGTCGTCGTCGTCGTCAAAACTGCATGGTGAAGTTGTCTGAGCTCCGCGCGGATTTCTTGGATCGACGCTCGGCGCCAGGGAGGGGTGTCCAGCGCCGAGCCAAGAGGATCCGCTCGGAGTTCCACAAGTTTGGGTTTGTGCCGTGTCGTTTTCCTCTGCGAGGCGGTGTACGCCGCGGCCGCGGAGTCCCACTTCCCGAACGGCGGCATACTGACCAGCCTGGCGCAGGCATACGTCCCGACGGGTAGCGCCGAGAGCGAGGACGCGGCCGCGCCCTTCTGGTCCGAGGAGGCGCCCGTGGCGATGACGGGGGGCACGTTCTCGCTATGCATTCTGCCGACGCAGGCGGGCAGTGAGACCTCCAGGAGTCGAGTAGGGGATCCACTGCAGAAATGGTTTTCCCCAAAATTGATTTCCCGTCGGATCGATGAACGAATGCGTAAAACGCCTGACGGAACATTCTACGCATTTTTCGTAAACTCGACGAACATCGATTCTGGGGTAAATCAATTTTGCAGTCGATCCCCGACTCGAAGGAGGGGTGTCCACGGCGGCTACGTGTACCTGGGCTGCGCCACGCGGCAGGAGGCGCAGACGATGTGCGACCTGAGGCGCATGCCCATGCCGAACACGTCGGCCGCGCAGGCGACGATCGAGGCGTCCATCGCGGCGGCCAGGGCGGCCGGCAGCCTGCCTCCTGGCAGCTGCGGGCAGGTGCCCACGGAGAGGAAAACAGCATGCACAGGAACGTTCGGAGGTCCGTGCTTCCTGCATCGGCGCTGCCCCCCCCCCCTCCTCCTCCTCCTCCTCCCCCTTCCTCCTCCCACCCCTCCTCCTGCTCCCCCTCCCCCTCCTCCTCCTCCTCCTCCTCCTCATCCTCATCCTCGTCGTCCTCCTCCTCCTCCTCTTCCTCCTCCCCCTCCCCCTCCTCCTCCTCCTCCTCCTCCTCCTCCTCCTCCTCCTCCGTCTCCTCCTCCTACTCCTCCGCCTCCTCCTCCTCCTCGTCCCTTGCGCGCGAATCGCGCCACGGGCGGCGCTGGAGGCGACGCCAGTAGGGCCCAGCGCCGATACCAGAAATCCGCGCGGAGCTTCGAAAGCCGACCCAGATCCCAGACCCCCGACGGCCGTTTTTTTTTCACAGCATGGGCCTCCAAAGGTCTCGACGAATTCCCGGGGAACTAGTTTTCATCCTGAGGCGCGTTTGACGGGCCAGAGGCCCAGCGAGACAAACACACATCTCGATGCATTTTTGTTCATGGCCCGAGGGGCAAGTCGGGAATGTCACTTCTACATGAGGAACGTTCAAAAATAACCAAAGATACTGTGGGGACGAGTTTGATGTTTTTTGGGGTATGTTTTGATTTGTTGTGCTTCTTGCAATTTCTTCAAAATCCGCTTGTAGAGGGACATGCCCGACCTAGCCCGAGGGGGTCTGTGTTCTTCGAAGGCGGTTTGGCTGGGCGGCCAGTGGAGCGACGCCCACGACCAGTGGCGCTGGGACATAGAGGGCTGGAGAAGCGATGCCGCCTCCCCCAGGGGGGTGGCACCTCCAGCGAGGAGGCCCACGATGCCTCCCCGAGCCGGGGATAGGGGACACCTCGAGCGAGAGGGAAGAACCACACCACCATGGGGGGCCCCCCTGACTCCTCCCGCTCGTGGTCCCCGGTGGTGGTGGTGCCGCTTCTGCAGGAGGAGGAGGAGGAGGAGAGGGAGGATGAGGGGGCAGGGGGGAGGACGAGGAGGAAGTGCTGGTGGTGGTCAGAGTGAGGGGGCCGAACGGTCATTCAACATGCCTGGGTGCGTGGCTGAAGTGGGAGTCCGCGGCGCGGGTTCTGCTTCTTGCTGTTGTCGAATATTCATTTCGATGAATGATAAGTGGTGATCTCCAGAAATGGTTCCGCGTGCTCTCGCCTCGATGCCGGCTGCTCCCGCTTGAGCGCGGGTTTGATTGTTAACGTGTGCCTTTAGAGGCCCGGCTTCGAGAGACAACGGTTCCCGCTCGATATGCTCACAATTTACCCCGAGACACCCTGGCCAAAGAGGCCACCGAACTCAGGAACGGCGCGCTCGCTGGAGAAATACTCGTAATTCAGTCGAGTGGGTAGAGGCCCAGCCACGATGACATGGGCTGTCGCTCGATGCTTCCCCACGATTTACTCCGAGAGGCCCTGGCGAGCGAGCCCCCTGAACTCAGGAACAGCACTCTCGCTCGTGATCTCCTCGCTTTCCAGTCAGTGACCGACAAGGAAGAGTTTTCCCCCAAACGATGCGATCGAAGACGAAGTGGGCAGGTATCGAGGGTTGGGGTATCCAAAATGAAAGACACTCGGGCAAGCAAGAGCGAACGGTCTTCATGAGTGTTGTTGGTGTTGCTGCTTTTCCTCATAGTGTATTCCCAAATCGCGTTCTCGCGCGGGACTTCCTCATCATGTATACAGGATTCGCGCTCTCGCGTGGGACTCCCTCGCAAGTTATTCAGACGTCGCGCCCTCGACACTCAGGAATGATGCTCTCGCTGTGGATGGCCTCACGATTTGTTTGGGAATCGCGCTATCTCTCGAGACCTCATCGCGATTCATGCAGGACGCACGCTTCAGCAACCCGCCTGCTCGACCTGGCCGCCTGGGCCCGCCTTCCCGACCCGCCCGTTAGGGTTTATCCGCCCGATCTGCCCGTCTCGTTCTGCCACGTGTTTTCTGTTTCTAGCCCCCATACTGCTACTCTCTCTCGCGTGCTCCATCCTCCTCCTTCCCTCTTGCCTTGTCCCTTCCTTCCACTGTCCTCTCTTCTGCTGCCTCAGGGGCTGCATGAAAAACACGCTGCAGGTAAGAAAGATGTGTACCTCCAAAGGTGTACGATCGAACATGAAGAGGGCCGGTATCGAAGGTTTGGGAGATACGTGTTGAATCGCACCCGGGCAGATGATAGCGAACAGTCCTAAATTGGTTGTTGTTGTTGTTGCTGCTGTTGCTGTAGCTGTAGCTGTTGCCGTTGCTCCTGGTTCTCTTGCTGTTGCTGATCCTGCGTGCTCCCAGGACAACACCATCGCCATGACCGAGGGCCCGGTCGCGCCCTCGGAGCACGACTCGCTGCCCGGCCCCGACGACGCCTACCACTACACGAACTGGGCCGGAGGCCAGCCCTCGGCCTATCCGCACGCGCTGGAGCCCGCCCTGTACATGGACGCCGCCACGGGCCGCTGGCACGACGCGAGTCCCGGTGGCCACGTCCTGGCCGTGGTGTGCGAGGAGTCGAAGATCGGGCCGGACGAACAGGGGGGGGACTTGGGAAAGGGGGGGGGTCCGACATCTGCTGCATGCAGCTGGTTTCGGCCCCACCGAGGGGCCCATTCCTGGATACATAGCCGCCTCCAGCGCCGGGAGGCGCCGGGAAAATCAGCTAGGTGAGCTGATTCTCAACCCCCCCCCTTGCTATCCCCCCTTTTTGCCAGGCCCGAGAAGAGCAAAGCACTGCACAATTGAGGTGTTCCGAAAAAGGGCCCAGCCTTCGCGGAGCGAAGGAGCTGCCGTCTCTCCGTTGGCGGAAGGTGGCGGAAGGGCGGCGGAAGGCGGCGGAAGCAACACGAGGCCGCCTCCGCCGGCGGTAGTGGGCGCCAGGGCGGCGGAAGGTGGCGGAAGCAAAAGTCGACTTCCCAAGAGATGATCAATCTCGATAGCATGTCGGGCTTCGGGTAGTCAGGAATCCGCCAAATGTATGGTTGGTTGGCGTCGGCAACACAGCGTTCGATGTGGCGCCGCCGCCGCGCTTAGTACAGGCCCCCACCCTCTGGGATGGCGTGCACCGGAGAAGCCCTGGCACGGGGATAGTGTGCACAGGAGGGGCCCTCGCGGGGAGATCGCCTCACAGGTATTTTGTGCTCTTGGGAGATCGATGTTGCACGCTATCTCTCCAACGCCAACCGTAAACTCTCGGAGGTCGGCGCGGATTTCTTGGATCGGCGATGGGCTCCATTCCGTGCGCGCCAGGGAGGGGGGGGCCGCGCCGATCCGAGGAGTCTGCGCGCACCTCCGACAGCCGATGCTCGTGCTGCTCATGGCCCTCTCGCCAAGGGAGGAAGAACCAACCCGACCCCTCCCGATGGCGCTCACTGGACAGCCCTGGGCGCTGACGAAGCAGCCCTGCCCTGCTCGGTTCCCTTCCTCATGGGAGCGACGCAAGAAGCAACGGGGTCGTCTGCGCCGACGTTGGCGCGCAAGCTGCCCGCGTAAGGTCGCGCGTCAGCGCCCTCGCTTCCGGCGTAGCGTAGCGTGTCGCGCTGGCGGCCCGCGTAAGCCACCGCGCAAGGTCGCTGCGCCATGTCGCGCAAGGCTTTTTTTTTTGTTGTCGCGCATGCGCGTTCACCAGAGGGCCTCGCTTGCCAGGGTGCTTCTACAGTGGAAACCCATGTCGAGAAACACCCCGCTTGCCTCAAGGGCGCCCTGGGTCTCTTGGGTTTCGATGGGTTTGCTGTGGGAAGCGTGACGCTCCCACTCAAAAGATCAGTGGCCGTCCTGGGGTCTCAGGGTCTCGGGGTTGGGTTCCTTGTCGAAGGCATCCCGTGCTCGGCCTCCTGCTTTATCATCGGGAGGAGGAGGAGGAGGAGGAGGAGGAGGAGGAGGAGGAGGAGGAGGAGGAGGGGGCGGTCGGTCGGCCCGCTGCCCGAGGAGGCGGTGCCGCTGCCCGCGGGGGAGCTGCGCCTGAGCGGGCCGGCAGGCCTGGGCGCCCCCGCGGCGGGCTCCGCGCAGCACTGGGAGGCCCGGGCCGGCCACCAGCTGGCCCTGGAGGTCGGGGGCTCAAGATCTGCACGAACGAGATGGGCACGGAAAGAATGGGTACAATGCCCAACAGCAGATCCTGTTCATGCTGAACAGGAGGACTCGCTGTCCACGCCGCCGCGGCCCGTGTCCACTCGAGACAGAGGGCCGCCTGCCCAACAGCGGCCGCTGTTGGTTTGGAACAACATATGCTGTTGGGCATTGTACCCATTCTTTCGGTACCCATGTCGGGCGTCCAAACAAGAGACGGGGGCGAGTGCACACGGGGGTCGGTCAGAGCGCTGGATCTCGCAGGATCCTGCAGGACCAGGGGTGCGCTTCAAGCAGGGGATCGGCCACGGAGTATCCGTTGACCACAACATTTGTCTGTTCGTCGAGTCTACACCAGGGACAAACACACTTAGGGCTCGTAGATCTACGAACGTTCGACGTGCTCGTGCGTGCATTCGACGCGAAAATCAGCTTTGGGGTTGATCAATTCTGTAGTCGATCCCCTACTCGAGCACTGACCCGGGCTTGGGTGCAGGATTCTGCAGGATTTTGCAAGGCCTGGCTGGCCTGGGTTTGCATTGCCCCGGGTCAGTGCGCCCCCCGATGAGGGCCCGCTGGCCGGGGTGGACCTCCTGCCGGGGGACCTGCTGCTCGCCGTCGACGGCTCGCGTCGACTACACGTAAGAGTGGCCCTTGGACGGAGTGACCTGAGGTGCGGGCCAACTGGGGCCCCCCTGTCTTCGAACGCGAGGCGGCAGTGGCGTCTTGCGCGCTCGTGCTTGGCCCCCCGCGTCCCCCCCAAAGCCGCGCACCAGAGTCTGGTTGACACAGAAGGGGGTCCAGCTGAATTTGGTGCAATAGATTTGTGGCGTTGCAACAGGGCTGGAGCGTGCAATCCATTTCGATGCGCAGATGTATTTCTGGGTTTTCGCGTGCAAGACATTAGCTGCAATACGATGCAATCCAGTTCTCTGGCGCAGTACATTTGCAATACGATTGCCCTACATCTCTTGCACCACCCCCTTTCAGCTGGACCCCCTTCTGGGTCAACCAAACAGAGGTCGCTCTTGCTCAGGGCCACTCTTGCGTGTAGCCGCTCCAGGAGGGGAAAGAGGCAGACTGCGTAGGTAGACACTGCCCGTCCGTCGTCTGCGCCTTTCTGAGGGGGCCCATGCCAAGAACCACCCTGCTTGCCTCCAGGGTGGCCTGGGTTTCTCGGGTTTCGATGGGGTTTGCGATGGAGAGCGTGACGCTCCCATACCAAAAATCAATGGTCGTCCTGGGGTCTCAGGGTTGGGTTTCTTGTGGAAGGTTTCTTGTGGACTGGCCTCCACTGCACCAGGCTCTTCAGCGGTCCAGTCGACCCGATTCGACATCGGCCCCCGCTGGCCCGATTCAGTTCGGTCAACCGAGTGATTCGGGCGTTCTGATTCGGCCCGATGTTCGTATGGCGCTGTTGTGCAGCCTTGCGCCGCCGATCCGAGCCTCGATTCCGACACCGCTTCGGTGCGGCCCTGTTCGATACGCTTTCGATGCGATCCGGTTGCACGATTGGACACTGGCGGATGCTGTTCGGTGGCTCCCCCATGCAGACAGGACATGTCCGCGCCGTAATTCGTGAAACACTACGGAAGGCGTTGTGCAGGTTTCGGCCTCTGGGCGCCCTTGCTGGGCCCTGGGATGATAAAAAGACCCTGGGGAAAGGGTCGGGATTTCTAGGGACGCCGTCCTGAACGAACATCAAAACATCGCACGTGTGGGAAAAAGCAAGAACCAAGATTGCCGGGATTATCATGAGTTCCTATTGTTTCGCATCTCCCAGATTTATGGATCGCATTTTGATCCAGTCGCATCGTGACGTCATCCTCGTCCTACCCTCGCACCTACGGCCGCCACCTCCGAAGATCTTGGCACGAGCGCGCCCCAGGGAGAGGACCGGGATCAGCGGTGCATCGGCATCCTTTTTCTCCCCCCCCCCAAAGGCTCCGCGACGCCCTGCGCTGGCGAGAAGCAGGCCTCCGCCCCCATGGGTGCGGAGGGCATATCGTACCCGTCCGCGGACGGGGCGTCGTTCGTGTGGCCGGGCACGGCGCGGGCGGCCGGGGGCATCTACACGCTGTGCTGGTGCCGCCCCGCGGCGGACGTCGTGGGCGAGAAACATGCAGTGCACGCCCATGCCAAGTACATTTGCAATACGATTGCCCTACATCTCTTGCACCACCCCTTTCAGCTGGACCCCCTTCTGGGTCAACCAAACAGAGGTCGCTCTTGCTCAGGGCCGCTCTTGCGTGTAGCCGCTCCAGGAGGGGAAAGAGGCAGACTGCGTAGGTAGACACTGCCCGTCCGTCGTCTGCGCCTTTCTGAGGGGGCCCATGCCAAGAACCACCCTGCTTGTCTCCAGGGTGCCCCGGGGTTCTTGGGTTTCGACGGTTTGCTGTGGAAGACATGATGTCCCCAAACCGAAAATTGGACGTCCTGGGGTCTCTGGGTTGGGTTTCTCGTGGAAGGTCTCTTATGGGTTGGGCTCCACGGTATCCGTATCCGCGGCCTCGCGGGCCAGGCCCCTGGGCCGTGACCCCAAGGATACGTGGCTTTTTGTTCCGCGGATGCCCCGCGCGGAACGTATCTGTGCGACCGCGGGAGCGCGCCCCAGAATCGGGACGATCGAAATGGGTACGGAAAGAATGGGTAGGATGCCCAACAGCAGTTCTTGCCAATTTTGAGCAGACTTCGCTGTCCGCGCCGCTGCAGGCCATACTCTTTGAAGACTAGAAGCCGCCTGCCCAAGAGCGGCCGCCGTCGGTTTGGGGCCACACCTGTTGTTGGGCATGGCGCCCGTGATTTCCGCACCCCTGGCGGGCGCCCCAGCAGTCCACCCCTCGCCCACTAGACGAAGCCAATCATTCAACGATGCCGAGGTCGTCGTCGTCGTCGCTCGTGAGGATGTCACCTTAGTGGGCCCTGGAAACGACAGGGCCGTTTTTTTGCCGGTTCCGAAGCCGTTTTTTTAGCGGTTCCGTCGCCGTCTTTTGACCGGTTCCGGCTCCGGTTCCAATCCTGGAGCTGTTTCTTTGCCGTTCCCGGTCGCCGTTTTTTTGGCCGTTTCCATTTTCAAGGGACATTTTTCTGGAAACGGTGAAAAAAACGGCCCTGCCGTTGCCGGGGCCCACAATCGGGCGAAGAGAATTATGCACATGCACCGATCCTGGCAAGGCCCATCTTTGACCCAGGATCGGTGCATATGCCTTCCTGGCCGAGGTAGGAGGGCGTATGCACCGATCCTGGGCTCAGGATGGGCCTGGCCAGAATCGGTGCATGTGCATCGTTCTTTTCCCTCTACACAGAGGATGTCACCGAGTGCCGGGTCGCCGCCGACTTCCTGGTGAGCGCGGGCACGCTGTCCCTCCGGGGCCCCCTGCTCGGCCAGGCGCGCCGCCCCGCCGCGGGGGGCGCGCCATCGGGCGGCCCTGCTCCCTCGCCCTAGCCCTCCAGGAGAGCCAGAGAACAACAAGCGCGCCAGTGGCTGGCCCTGGATACACAAAAGGAAAGGGGGGTGCTCGCAGAACCCCCCCCCCCCCCTCCCCCCCTTCAAAGGAGGGGTGGGATGTTCGACCCCCTCCCCTCCCTCCCCCCCTTCAGGGGGGGGGGTCCGAACCCCCCACCCCCCCCCCCTTGAAGGGGGGGGGGGGTCCGGACCCCCCCCCCCGTCCCCCCCCCCCCCCCTTGGCGCTGGGACCCAGATGCCTACATTCCAGTCGGGGTCTTGAGCAGTCCAGGTGCCCAAATGCCAGTCGGGGTCTTGAGCAGTCGGGCGGCCTGGTTCCCTTGCCCTGACCCTCCAGGCGGGCTAGAGTTGAGTCGGGCGCGTCTTTCTGCAGGCGGAATGGTCAAAAATAGTCACAATAGTACGGGGACGAGTTTTGAACATGTTGGGCCACTTTGGAACATGTTTTGCGTATTCTTATTTTTCGTCCCAGATCCGCCTGCAGGGGGACATGCCCGACCCAAGGCTAGAAGACAGCACCTGGACCTTGATTTGAGACTTCCCGTGTCAAAACGGCGTAGAAATGGGATCCGCCGCGCAAAATAAGGTCCGACGCGGATCCCGAACATCAGAAATGGGATCCGCGCGCACGGAAATGGGATCCGCCGTGACTTCACGATTACGGTGAGGTAGGACATCGGATCCGTGCGACCCTCGTTGGGTTTGCCGCTATGATTTCCCAGAGGGCCCGTGCACCGCGTGGGAACGTGAGGTTCAGCGCCAAGAGGGAAAGACGTTCGGCCTGGAGATGGGCGTTTTGGGCATCCGACCTGCCCTTGGCCGCGTGCGACATATCTCTTTTCTGCGGCTTCCGTTCGAGACTTCCTCACGCGCTCTTGAGGACTGCCGTTCGAGACTTCCTTGCGTGCCTTCCACTTCACCATGCATCTGGGTGGCAGCCACCGTTGTGAAAATATGATGCCCTCCATCCGTGCTCGGCCAGACGCGGCGCCGAACGCCGCGCGGCGTGCCACCGCGCGGTGGGAACTTCAGGGTGCCCGTTGGGTCGGGAGACGCAGGGCGCCGGCGCACTTACGCAGGACGAAAGATTATTTTCTGGACGTCGAAGAGGACCACTCGCGTCCCCCGTACAATCTTCACACGGGGAGCGCTTGCGGCCGACGGATCCCATTCTTGTCGGCTCCCGGAGCAAATTCAATTTTATAAATTCACAGCGGGGTAGAAATGGGATCCGCCGTACAAAATAAGGTCCGACGCGGATCCCGAACATCAGAAATGGGATCCGCGCGCACGGAAATGGGATCCGCCGCGACTTCGCGATTACGGTAAAGAAGGAAATCGGATCCGTTCGACATTCATTGGGCTCGCCGCTATGATTTCCCAGAGGGCCCGTGCACCGCGCGGGACCGTGAGGTTCAGCGCCAAGAAGAAAAAACTGTCGGCTCGGGGATTTATGGTGGATACCCTCGCGTGCCTGCAGGGCACGTGCTGCGTCTGTCGCGCGTCCTCGATGTGAGCCCAATGTCAACGAAACGCGTGGAATCGGCGGACAGCGCAGCAGGGTAGATACGCTTTCTCGCGATTGCGAAATCGTCGACCGCGTATCAAGTTTTTACCTCCGCAACAAATGCAGCCATTGTTTACGCGGCGTTGACAAGGCGTTCATTTTTTTGGTCTGGCGCGCACGGCGCTTTTGTTTGTTGGCCATACCCGCGCCGACACACGCAATAGGGGGAAACCCAAAAAAAGGCAATCCTCCAGCAGGCGTCGTGGCTTTTCCCCAAATCATCTTTGCAAATTGTCCCACCTATGGTTTAATGTACATTTGCGATCAATGAAAAGTGTGTGTCTTATGAGTTACTTATTAAAACAAGTGGCCAGTATGAGGACATGCCCGACTTCAGGGAAGCTGGAAAGGCGAGGGTGATGTCACGGAATGGGGTGGTTTGCTGGGGGTCGGTTAGGCCGCGCCCGAATGTTTTCTGTGCCCACTGCGGGCATGCCAAATCGCGCGCGTTTGCCCCCATTCGATGGTTGTGCAGCCTTGTTTTCGATCGGAAAAAAAGGTTCTAGGCGGCAGAAGCATCAACTTTTGACGGTCTGCGCGTATTTGTTGGATCGGCGTTGGGCCACGCTGGTGGCGTTTCGTGCGCCATCCCTGGCGCAGCCCGCCCATCCTTGCAGAACTCCGAAAGTTTAATGTTCTGCCGTTTGTTGTTCTTCGATACGAGGAATCGAGCAGGGATATTCCGCAGTTGTCGGCCGTTTTCCAGCCTCGGGATGCCGAGATCACTCTGGGGGGCGCCCGGGTCGTCCCGCCGCCAGAGACCCGAGCTATGGTCCGAAGCTTCGACGACGAGGATTGTTCGGGTCGGGCGATTCCACGGCGGGGCGAGCTGTTGACTCCTGCCGGCCGTGGGGCACACAGGGCAGGCGGCGGCGTGGCCAGCGATTTGTTGGCTTCTTCCCCGCGGTCCTCGTCCTCGGCCGTCTCCTCCCTTGCCCCCGCCGCCTCGCATGCGCGCAGGGAGAGACCGACATCCCGGTCCCTTTTCCCTCACCCCGCCCCGTCTGGCCCTCAGCTACGCCCACTCCCCACCGCCTGGTTGCGGGGTACATGTGCTGTTTGTCCAGTTCGCCGCATCGGTCGGGGGGGTGCTCATGGGACGGGTGTCCCTGGCCCAGAGTGCCCAGCTTTTCTCTCCATTCTGGAATCCCCTGGGCTCTTTGGTCCCATCAAGGGTTGCTCTTGATCACGTGGGGGCTCTTTCTATTCTTGGACACCCCAGGGACACCTTGGGCCAGGGACACCTCAGGCAACGTCCGATCATATGGGTCACAGGCGCCGATCTCGTATGTGTGCGTTCCTTCTTCGCTCGTAGAAGCAAAAGGTCGCCTCCCTCCTCCCTTGGGCTCATGTCGATTCGCTCGATCTGGTTCGATATCGATCCGTTGGCGATGTTTGCGCGGCTCGGCGGTGTAGCACGGCGCTGCCGATCGAGTTCGACTTCGGTTCCGCGCCGATGCAGCCCGACTCGATGCACGTCCCGATCCGATGCACGTCCCGATCCGATCCGATTTCATGATTCGGTGCCGATTGCCCTCTGGGCCCCCTCCCCCCCCCGCGGCACCCGCAGCACCACGTCTGCCAGAGCGCGGAGAACTGCAGCGTGGCCCTCGCGTGGCCCGACGACGTCGGGCCAGAGCAGGGGCAGCTGGTGGCGGCGGAGGGGGCCTGCGACGCCGACGCGGTCGGCTCCGCCGTGGCCTTCGACAGGAGGGGGGGGCGGCTGTCTCAGAGAGGTCGTCCGTCGGATCCCGGCGCGCTGAGCATGTCGATGCGGCTGCCCTTGCGCAGTCCAGGGGCTCTGGTCCGAGCTGGGGATTCTTCTATAACCATCGCCTGGGGGATCGATATTTCTTTGTACATATATATACACACACGCCTTAGCCAGCGTTGACCCCCAAACCGTGTGGATCTTGCAGTAGATGTAGTGAAATACGTTGTGGAGGTATATGTGTGATGAGATTCATGTGGTGAACTCTTTGCGATGCTGTATATCTGGATCAACCTGTGGTTTGCGATCTATGTTGTGTCATCTGTGTTATGCGATCTATGTCGTGCGGTCTACGTTGGACAATCTATGTGGTGCAATATGCGATGGGCAATCTAGGTCGAGCAATATATGCGATGTGCGTGGTGCAATATGTGAGGCGCAAGCTATTTGGTGCAACGTATGTGGCGTGATCTATGTGGTGCAACTACTTTCTTCTCGCAGTGAGTTTTCCACTCCACTTCTCGCGCAAACAACCCACCCACCCATCCGCAACTTGGTTTGCAAAATATCTTAAGACCGTGACGGTGGGTACCAGATGGCACTTGGCAATGACAGCGACGCCGACGACGACAACGACAACGACGACGACGACGACGACGTCAACGACAACGACTACGACGACACCGACGACGTCTCCAACGACTTCGACGCCGACAACGACGACGACGACACCGACGACGACGACGACGACGCTGACGACGACGACGATGACAACGACGACGACGATGACGACGCCGACGACGACGACGACACCGACGACGACGACGACGACGACGTCAACGACGCCGACGACGACGACGACGACAACGACGGCGGCGACGACGACGACGCCGACGTCGACGACGACGAAGACGACGACGACGCCGACGCCAACGACGACGGCGAAGAGGACGACGACGTCGCCAACGAAGACGACGACGAGGGAGGAGGGAGGACGACGACGGCGACAACGACGGCAACGACGACAACGACCTTGGAGGAGGGAGGCCGGCGACGACGCGAATGACGAAGAAGGAGGAAGGACGGCGACGCCGACGACGACAACGACGAGGGAGGAGGGACGACGACGACGACAACGACGACGACGACGACGACGGCGACGAAGTAGGAGGGACGACGACGGACGACGACGACGACGAGGCAGGAGGAGGAAGGACGACCACGGCGACAACGACGACGGAAACGACCACGACGCCAAAGAGGACGACGACGACGAACACGAGGAAAGACAGAGGACGACGTAGGCGGTGACGGCGACGACGACGCGGGAGGAGGGAAGACGGCGACGACGACGACGATGACGCAAGAGCGCGCGCGCACGCTTTTGTTGAAAATCCGTGTTACGAAACCTTGTGTTTTTGTAGTTTTTTTAGACACGATTTTGAACAATCCTTCCGAAACCCGAGGTTTTTGAAGGATTTCGGCATACGCCCGCGACGACGCGCGCGTCTGCATTTCGTCCCGTTTTTTTGCAGAGGATTCTCGCGACGGCACAACCGCAAGGGCGTTCGACAGATTTCGACATGCGCGCGCGAAGCCCGTTTGGTAGCATTTTGTGAAAGTTTTGAAAAACTTATGGTTTTCTTAAGAGTTCGCAAGAGCTCGCGCGTAAGCGTTTTTAGCAAATCACTGTTGCGGAACCATGTGTTTTTGTATATGCTTTTGGAAACTCGATTGCGAAATCTTTCCGGCACATAAGGTTTTTGAAGGATTGGGGTCCTGCCCCCCCCCCCATCAGGGAGGAGGAGGAGGAGGAGGAGGAGGAGGACGGTTACGACATCAGCGTCGGCATCGGCATCGGCTTCGGCACATGCATCGCCGTCCTAGGCACGACGCGGAACTGCTACAGTTGAAGTAGGGAGGTGCCAATCTGTAATCGTGCCAACATTGTCGTCCACGGTGTCTTCCCCGTCGTCGCCTCCCTCTGGGTGTGGCGTGGTGTTGCGGTGCTTCCGGGAGCCAGAGCGGAAGTTGTCGTCGTTGACGTCGTCGTCGTGGTCAGAGTCGCTTCCAATCCCATGTGGGGAGGGGGGACAAGACCCGAGGGACCCTGAGACCCATCCCTTCTGGGGGTCGGAGGCCCGTGGGTCCGGAGCATGGGAGCACACGCGCCGTGCAATCTATGTGGTACAATCTACGTGGTGCAATCCACTTCGACTGTCTTGAAGCTGTCCTCTCCACTGCTCGTGCAAACATCCCACCCTCCCACCCGCAACTTGGTCGCAAGACATCTTCAGACAAGACCGTGACGGTAGGTACTGCGTGGCACTTGGCCACGACACCGATGCCGACGACGACAGCGACATCGACGACGACGGCGCCGCCGACAGCGACTGCGACGACACCGACGACGTCTCCAATGTTTTCGACGACGACAACGACGACGACGACACCGACGACGACGACAACGACGCCGACGACGACGACGAAGACGACGACGACGTCGCCAACGGAGACGACGACGAGGGAGGAGAAAAAACGACGACGGCGACAACGACGACAACGACGATGGAGGAGGGAAGACGGCGACGACGCCAACGACGAAGAAGGAGGAAGGACGGCGACGCCGACGACGACAACGACGAGGGAGGAGGGAAGACGACGACGATGACAACGACGACGAAGACGACGACGACGGCGACGAAATAGGAGGGACGACGACGAGACGCCGACGACGGACGACGACGACGAGGGAGGAGGATAACGACGAGGGAGGAGTGAAGACCACGACGACGACGACGACGACGACGCGACGAAATAGGAGGGACAACGACGAGACGCCGACGAAGACAACGAGGGAGGAAGGACGACCACGGCGACAACGACGACGGAAACGACGACGACGCCAAAAACGACGAGGAAAGACAGAAGACGACGACGGCGACGACGACGACGACGACGAGGGAGGAGGGAGGACGACGACGACGACGACGACGCAAGAGCGCGCGCGCACAATTTTGTTGAAAACCCGCGTTGTGAAACCTTGTGTTTTTGTATGTTTTTTGGACGCACGATTTCGAAATCCGTCCGAAACCGAAGGTTTCTGAAGGATTTCGGCATACGCCCGCGACGACGCGCGCGTCTGCACTTCGTCCCGTTTTTTGCAGAGGATTCTCGCGACGGCACACGCGCAAGAGCGTTCGACAGATTTCGACATGCGCGCGCGCGAAGCCCGTTTGGTAGCATTTTGTGAAAATCTTGGAAAACCTATGGTTTTCTTTAAGATTTCGCAAGAGCTCGCGCGTAAGTTTTTCTTTGAATCAGTGTTGCGAAACCATGTATTTTTGTATGTGTTTTGGAAATTCAATTTTGACATCTCTCCGGAACCGAAGGTTGTTGAAGGATTTCGGCATGCGCTCGCCACGACGCGCGCGTGCGCACTTCGTCCCATTTGTTGCAAGGAATCCGCGAAAAAGTGTTATGTTGGAACAACAAATGTCACCGCATAGTGTTTTTTTACAAAGGGAACCGCAGGGGGGGGGAACCCGGCTTGGCTGGGATGGTATGAATTCATATCTAGGATGGACATGTGGTCAGAATCGTGTGTAATTTTCAGCACGCGCGGGGTAACCGATAAGTCCGGGGGGGGGGTAGAATCTATTAGTCTTTTAGAAAGGAGAATTAATCTTGACCGTCTTGAAGCTGTCCTTTCCACTGCTCGTGTAAACATCCCACCCTCCCACCCGCAACTTGGTCGCATGACCTCTTCAGACAAGAACGTGAATGTAGGTACCACATGGAACTTGGCCACGACACCGACGCCGACGACGACAGCGACATCGACGACGACGGCGCCGCCGACACCGACTGCGACGACACCGACGACGCCTCCAATGTTTTCGACGACGACAACGACGACGACGACACCGACGACGACGATGACGACAACGACGCCGACGACGAAGACGACGACGACGTCGCCAACGGAGACGACGACGAGGGAGGAGGGAGGACGACGACGGCGACAACGACGACAACGACGATGCAGGAGGGAAGACGGCGACGACGCCAATGACGAAGAAGGAGGAAGGACGGCGACGCCGACGACGACAAGGACGACGGAGGAGGGAAGACGACGACGACAACGACGACGAAGACGACGACGACGACGACGGCGACGAAATAGGAGGGACGACGACGAGACGCCGACGACGGACGACGACGACGACGAAGAAGGATAACGACGAGGGAGGAGTGAAGACCACGACGACGACGACGACGACGACGACGACGGCGACGGAATAGGAGGGACAACGACGAGACGCCGACGAAGACAACGAGGGAGGAAGGACGACCACGGCGACAACGACGACGGAAGCGACGACGACGCCAAGACGACGACGACGACGACGAAAGACAGAAAACGACGACGGCGACGACGACGACGACGAGGGAGGAGGGAGGACGACGACGACGACGACGCAAGAGCGCGCGCGCGCACACTTTTGTTGAAAACCCGTGTTGCGAAACCTTGTGTTTTGTATGTTTTTTGGACGCACGATTTCGAAATCCGTCCGAAACCGATGGTTTTTGAAGGATTTCGGCATACGCCCGCGACGACGCGCGCGTCTGCACTTCGTCCCGTTTTTTTGCAGAGGATTCTCGCGACGGCACACGCGCAAGGGCGTTCGACAGATTTCGACATGCGTGCGCGCAAAGCCCGTTTGGTAGCATTTGTTGAAAATCTTGGAAAACCTATGGTGTTCCTAAGATTTCGCAAGAGCTCGCGCGGAAGCTTTTTTAGCAAATCAGTGTTGCGAGACCATGTGCTTTTTGGTACTAGTTTTTTTGAAATTCAATTTTGAAATCTCTCCGGAACCGAAGGTTTTTGAAGGATTTCGGCATGCGCGCGCGACGACGCGCGCGTGTGCACTTCGTCCCCTTTTTTGCCGGGAATTTGTGGAAAAGTGCTTTGTTAGAACAAACGATGTCACCGCATAGTGTTTTTTACCAGGGAACCACAGGGGGGGGGGGGAACCGGCCTGCTTGGGATGGTATGATTTCATATTTCGGATGGACGAGTGTGCAGAGTACATATATATATATATATATATATATATATGTATATGAAAGTATGTTATCCCAGGGGGAAACATTAAGTCAAGGGGGGGGGGGGTAGAGTCTTTTCTTTTTTTTAGAAAGAAGAATCTACGTGGTGAATTTTAAGATAAAAAAGCGAGTTGGCAAATTCCGCGCTCATCCAAACATCCCCCCTACCCACCCGCAATTTGGTTTGCAAAACCCATGCGGCGACGATTGCGATGAGTGCTTGGCGTTGGCTGGTGCATCTCTGCGGCCGCGACGACCCGCGCATGCTCGCGCGCGCAGCGGCCAGCTAGTTTGGCGAGACCGACGAGGCCGCGGTGGCGCTGACCGTTGGGCACTTGCCACCAGGGCCTTCAGTTCGAGTCGGTGATTTGGGTGGGCGCGGTATCATGGCGACGCCGGCACACGCGATCATGCACGCAGCGATACTGTTGACGACGGAAGCCGTTGTCGCGCATCGTCGGGCCACACCCCAGTAAAAGTTTCGGGGGCCGGTCGCCTTCCACGCCAGGCCACTTGTTTTGCCTTGCTCTGTCAGGGCCCGAAAAGGCACCCAGGCAGGCATCATCATTCAGGTAAACGTGCTGGGTCCAGGCCCTGCATCATAACTCCTCGCAAGGATAGGTGCTCGTCTTCTTCGATCATCGGTCTTGAACCCGCGGTCGCCCCCTTAGTCTCGCCCTGAGCTTCGAAGAAAAGCAATTGCTTTCACAGAAAATACCGTGGCGAAGAGTACCGTCGTTGTGCGCAACGCATCAGGAGGAGCTCCCTATACGGCCACGAAAGGTGAGAGGAATGTGCCGAAATAGGTACGGTGGGCGCATGCGAACGTAGCCTTTTGGGCCGTCGGTGGAGAAGCCACTTTGCGGGCTGCGCCACTGGGGCCTTAGGTTGAGCTCCCTATTGGTGCGCGAAGCGTGTGAGGGATGTGCCGACATGGGGCGGCGCCGCCATGCGGACGGCGCCGTTGGCACCTTAGGTGGAGCTCCTCATGGGGCCACGAGGCGCGTGAGGGATGTTCCGAAATGGGGCGGCGGCGCCATGCAGACGGCGCTATTGGGACTTTCGTTGGAGCTCCCTTATGGGGCCACGATGCGTGTGGGGGGGGTGCCGAAATGGGGCGGCGGCGCCATGCGGACGGCGCCACTGGGACCTTGGCTGGAGCTCCGTGTTGGGCCACGACGCGTGTGACGAAATGGGGCGGCGGCGCCATGCGGACGGCGCCACTGGGACCTTAGGTTGAGCTCCCCATGGGTGCGCGAACTGTGTGAGGGATGTGGGCGGCGCCATGCGGACGGCGCCAGTGGGACCTTGGGTGGAGCTCCCTATGGGGCTACGATGCGCGTGAGGGGTGTGCCGAAATGGGGCGACGGCGCCATGCGGACGGCACCACTGGACCTTAGGTGGAATCCCCTATGGGGCCACGATGCGTGTGAGGGAGGTGCCGAAATGGGGCGGCGGCGCCATGCGGACGGCACCAGTGGGAACTTGGGTGGAGCTCCCTATGGGGCTACGATGCGTGTGAGGGATGTGGGCGCCGCCATGCGGATGGCGCCACTGGGACCTTAGGTAGAACTCCCTATCGGGCCACGAAGCGTGCGAGGGGAGGGGGAGGAATGGGAGGGAGGAGGAGGAGGAGGAGAGGAGACGAGAGGAGGTTGCGGGGAGTGCCTCTTCGAAACGAGGACCATACACCACAGGATGGTTAGGCGAAATGCTTGAAATTCCGCGCATAATTCTTGAATCGGCGCTGGACCCCCATCCTTGGTGCGCAGAGCGCGCCAGGGTCTGCACAGGAGGCGCCGCGAGGGTGGGGCCCAGCGTCGATCGAAGATATCCTCGCGCAGCTCCGAAAAGTCATGCTTATGCACTGTTGCTAGTCCTCCTCGTCCTCTTCAGTCCTCGGACCCCCCTCGCGAAGAGGGAGGAAAAGGAGGAGGAGGAGGAGGAGGAGGAGGAGGAGGAGGAGCAGCGCAGGAGCAGGAGCAGAGGCAGGAGCAGGAGCAGGAGGGACCCCCCTCGGCTGCACGCACACCGCCGCCGCTGTTAGAGTGGCCTACGGCCGCGTGGTTGCGTCGTGCGCAGCAGGAGGAGCGGGTGCAGTGTGCCACCTAGGTTGTAGCAGTAGTGTCACCGAGTGTGCGTGTCCGCCAGCGGTGTCTTAGCAGGAGCAGGAGGAGGAGGAGGGAGTGGGAGCAGGGTGGGCGCAGGAGGCAGGAGGGACCGGAAGGAGGAGGAGGAGGAGGAGGAGGAGGAGGAGGAGGAGGTCCTCCTCCTCCTCCTCCTCCTCCCCTCCTCCTCCTCCTCCTCCTCCTCCTCTCCCCTCCCCGCGTCCTCCTCCACCTCCTCGCCTTTCTCCTCCCTCGTCCTCCTCCTCCCCCTCCTCCTCCCCCTCCTCCTCCTCCTCCTCCTCCTCCTCCGCCTCCTCCTCCCTCCTCTGGCTCGCTCTCCCGCGGCCAGCTCCGACCCCGACGGCCGCCTCTTCGAGATCGCCGCGCTCCCGGCGCCGGGCGGCGCGCGGGCGCTGTGCCCGCCCTTAGAGTGCAGCCTGGGCGCGTTCGGGCGCCGCCGCGCTGCGGCGGGGCCTCGGGGCTCCCGGACACTCTGAGGAGGATCGGGAGCCGTGAGACGGGGGTCAATGCAAAGGGGGGTCAGCCAGAACGCCCGATCTTGCAGGATCCTGCAGGGCCAGGGTCGCATTGACCTGGGTTTGGGTGCAGGATCCTTCAGGATCTTACAGGATCCGTCGCATTGACCCGGGTTGAGGTGCAGGATTTTGCAGGATGTTGCAGGATTCTGCAAGGCGTGCTCACCCGGGTTTGGATTGACCCGGGTCAGAAGATCCCCGAGGAGGGGACCAGAAAAAAGCACAGACACAATGAAACGTCGATTTCTGGGGAAGCATGGGAAAATATGCGAAGTGGGGGGGGAGGGGGAAAGCCGAGGAGCTATCAAAACTACTGGGGGATTCCGGGATTTGTGTGCAGTTCTTTGTGGGCCCCTTCGGACTCGGCGGCGAGCTCCGGGGGGCCATGCCTTTTTTCGGGGTTCGAGGTCCGAGGCCTTCGCGCGTCCTCGTCGGCTCAATTGGCAGGTTTTGTTCGGCCGCGGGGCGCTCTCCAGCGGCCGCGCCTCGGCGAGAGCGCTCCGGAGGTGCCCGGATCGTCCCGAGCGGCCGCTCGGGGTCCGAGTCATGAGCCGAAAGCTGCCGGCAGAGAGTCGGGCCAGGCGAAGGGGAGGGATTGGGAAAGGGGGGGGTACGAAATTTGCTGCATGCAGCTGGTTTCGGCCCCACCGAGGGGCCCATTCCTCGATGCATAGTCGCCTCCGGCGCCGGGAGGCGCCGGGAAAATCAGCTACGTGAGCTGATTCTCACCCCCCCCCGTTGCCATCCCCCCCTTTCGCCCGACCCGAGAGAGGGCGGGCCTTCTCAGAAGGCCCGGAAGGCCTCGTGACTTCTGAACAGTTTTCTGAGCCTGCCCCGAAGGCACAAAAAGCGTCTCGGAAGGCCCGAGGGCTGGTGAGAATCTCCGCCGTGTTCTGAGAAGGCCGAGACATGGGACCCGAGCGCAGAGTTCTTCGCGTCGTGAAAACGCCAGGGCGGGAGGCACTTCGCTCTGGGCGGCCCCCGGGTGCCCCTTGCCAGTCCTTGGGGCCGTAAACAGAAAGGCTTCAGATAACAAAAACCAGTCCTGGGGAATGCGTCGAGACCCTTGGGGGTCGCCAGTGTGAAAAAAACACGGCGTTGGAGACCTTGCCAAGAGCACCATCATCGGTGGTGTGCCCCCGCCGAGGGAAAGTGATCCCGATGTCTGTTCGGGCGTCCTGGGTGGCCGAAGGATCACCACCAACACCAAACTCTAGGATCGTCTTTCTTAGTAAAAGCCCCCCCCCCTCCTCGATCCTCGGAGGGTTGTTTCGGGCCATGGGGCCACGAAGCGGGGTCCCATACCTGATTTTGTAAACCGGCGTTTTTTCCTCGATTCTGGCCCTCGGTGGGCTTTCTCGGGCCATGGACAAGACAACAAATTTACTCACAGGAACGTGGTTGGGTGTCTTAGGGTGGCGCGGATTGAAAATACAACATTTACGGATGGCATGGTCCAAGCCGAGCATTGAATCAGCAAGCATCACATGAATATAACATTTCAGAGCTCAGCACAGATTTCTTGGATCGGCGTTCGGTTTCCCTGTTGTGCGCGCCAGGGAGGGCTCAGCGCCGATCCAAGACACCCGCGTTGAGCTAAGACAGTTTAGTGTTTGGTTCTCATTTGAATAGGGTGCTGTGGTCTCCAGCCTTCTCCTTCCCCATCCTCCCGCCTCTTGCCTCATCCCCTCTTCTTTTGCTTCCTCCTTGCCTCCCTTGCTCGAACCTTTTCTACTGGTGGGCACCCAGCGCCGCTGTCGCCACTTCGTGGGCTCCTGGGAAGCACGGCGGAGGCGAGGGTAGCGCAGATCATCTGGGACCTCGCGGCTCCTTTTGGGGGCTGCGCACAGCTCAGCTGTCGCCGCTTTCGTGGGCTCATGGGAGGCACTGCGGAGGTGAGGACAACTCAGAAGGGAAAGAAACACACAGACACACTTAATCGTCGACTCCCAAGAAAATATGGGAAACTATGGGGGGAAGTTGGGGGGAAGACACAAATCCAGAAAATATTGGAAAATATTGTGAATCCTGTTATTTGTGTCTATTTATTTGTGTGTCCCAGAACCCCTTCAACAACGCGCATCATTTCGGACCTCCTGACTCCGCCAGTGGATGCGAGCTGCGCAACTGTCGCCACTTTCGTGGGCTCCTGAGGCGCGGTGGATGTGAGGACAGCACAGATCATCTGGGACCTCGTGGCCCCCTCGGTGGCTGCGCACTGCGCAGCCGTCGCCACTTTCGTGGGCTCCTGGGAGGCATGGCGCAGGTCAAGGGCTGCGCAGATCATTCGGGACCTCGCGGCTCCGTGGGGGGCTTCTGGGAGGCACGGCGGATGATGAGGGCGCTGCCTGCATCACGTAGCTCATGGCGCTGCAGCATCATGTAGCCAATGGCGATGTCCTCGGTGACCCACTCTCCCCTTCCTCGGGTGCTTGTTGCCCGCAGCGGCAGCACGGGTGAGCCGAGCAAATGCAGCGCATGGGGTTGGTAACCCCAACCTTATATGTTCCCCTTCCTTCTCCAACCTCCTAGTTCTCCTCCTTCGTGTTCCTCCTTCTCCTCCACTTGTGTCCCCTGCTTTATTATTGAATCGCTTCGCTCATTCCGCCGGCCCTGGAGCGCTATTTGGGGCCTTTTGGGGCCGTCTTGGGGGCTTCTTGGGGGCTTGTTGGGAGCGTCTTGGGGCTCCTTGGCGGCGTATTGGGCTCCCCGGGGGCCTCTTGGGGGGCTCTTCGGGGCCCCTTGGGGCGGGAGGGGGGGTAGATTTGTGTGTATTTATTTGTGTGTCCGCAGAACCGCAGCGTGCCGCATCTTGTTTGTCTTGTTTCTGTCGTCGTCGTCGTCGTCGTCGGGGGTGTGATGGGAAGCATCGCGCTCTGGGCGGCGTGCGGAAGCCATTGTGTGAGAGGGCGCGGTGGTGAGAAAAACAGCTCACCCCACCCGGCTTTCCGGGCTTTCCGGCGTAAGGAGGACTTCTTCGCGGCACTTGTGAACGCTCCTGGACAGTGCTTTTTGGGCAGGTTCTTGACGCTTGTTGCAAGTCTGTAGGGGCCCCGTTGGGAGTCTACCGAAAGGAGAGCACATTGTAGCATCGCTTGCACTTGTTTGCGTGCTCGGGGGGGCATTTGGGGGGCCTCCTGGGGCCGCTTGGGGGACTCTTGGGGGCCTCCTGAGGGCCTCGTGGGGGCCTCTTGGGGCCTCTTAGGGGCCTCTTGGGGCCTCGTGGGGCTTCTTAGGGCCGAGGGCTCGAAATGTTGTTTCGTGTTCCCTCTCTGGGGCCCCTTTGGGGGCGTTCTTGGGGCCCTCTTGGACCGTCTTGGAGGCTTCTTGGGCCGTCTTCGAGCCCTCTTGGGCCATCTTGGGGCCCTCTTGGGGGCCTCTTGGGCCCTCTTGGGGCGATCTTGAGGGCCTCTTGGGCCGTCTTGGGGCGTCGGGAAGCCGAAAAGGTGGAAACTCCAAAATCTCTCAAAAACATACGGAAAAGCAATGAATTTTGCCTCCTGCCCTCTTGGAAGTGCTCTTGGAGGCCTCTTGGGGCGTCTGGGGCTATCTTGGGGCGTCTTGGAGCGATCTTGTGGCATGTCGGACCCCTCGTGTACCATCTTGGGGGCCTCTTGGGGGCCTCTTGGCCTTTTTTGGGGCTCTCGGGGACGTCTCGGAGCCCTGTTGGTGCGCTCATGGAGCGCTCTGGTGGAGTCGCCCGGGGATCAGCCGGGACCCGCCCGGGTACTTTTCGTCCGGGGGCCCCCAGGGGCCGCCCCGCGCGCGCGAACTAGAGAATTGTTAACCAGTTACCGGAGATCTTAGCACGCTTCTGGCCCGTTGGGCCGGCGAATTCGGCGGCGAGCGAGGGGGGGAAGTGAGAAGGCCTCCTCAGAAGGCGGCTTGTCTTCTCAGACGCCATCCGGCCTTCTGAGAGGTCGGGGAAGGCTTAGAATTCTTCTCAGAAGGCCGGGGAATTTCCAAGATTTCTGAGAAGAGCTTCTCCTTCCCATTTCCCCCCTCGCTCGCCGCAGACTTCTGTCGCGCAGGTGTGCGACGTGCGTGGCCCGACATTGTTTTGCGACGTCTTTACGAGCGCCGCATATCTCTCAACATCGCCCAATCAGTGCTTGCACTGAAGGGGTTCTAGCGGATGTTGAAGGATTTGGCGAAAGTTCCCCGCCGATTTTGGTGGCAGGCTGGGTACCCGGGTTCCTGGGTTCCCAGTTCCGGGTTCCCGGGCTCCCGGTTCCGGGTTCCGCGCCGATTTCGGAGGGCGGCGAGTTTCCCGGGTTCCCGGGTTTTTGGTCGATCTTCTTATCGATCGGTCTCACCATCGATCTCATTACCGATTTCTCGATCGATCTCACCATCGATCTCATTATCAATATCACAAGCGATCTCACTAGAGATCGCGTGAGCGATCTCGCGATCGATCTCACTATCGATCTCATTGAATCGATGTCATTCTCGGTCTCACGATCGACCTTACAATCGTCCTCACTATCGATTACACTATCGATCTCATTATCGATCTTTCAATCAGTCTCAAGATCCAGAGTATCAATTTTCAAATCATCCACTGATCGGCGCGGACCTCTGGAAGCGCATGTTCCCACAAGAATCGTTCTTCGAATCGGCGGCGAGCGTAGGGAGGAAGCGAGGAGGGGCGGGCCTTCTCGGCCGGCTCGGATGTCCTGCTCGCCGCCGACCCAGGAAAGCGGCCGTGGGTCGGAGGTCTGTCGGGTGGCCTCGTCTGGCTCCAGATCATTTTCTTGGCTCGTTCTGGCTCGTTGTTGTTCCTCTGACCCTCCTGTGGGGTTGGCCAGTTGGACCTTGTTGTTGTTTCTCTCCGCCGAGGCGCGCGTCCGACTCCCCTCATGCCCCCTCTTGGGTAGCAACTCGTGGGAGGTTCAACTCAGCATCGACGCTGGTATATCCATGGTCCAAAACTGGGCGATTCCGTGGCAATCCCGTTGGATTCCGTTGAATCCAGCCGAATCCTGGGTTTAATATGGTTTTAGTCCGTCTGAATTCCCCTTTTAGCGGGCTTGGTAGCATGTTACCGATGTTGCGAAGACCTCCCAGGAGTTGTTTCCTGACTCCTCGTCCAGCACTTCGGCACGTTCCTCGCACGTCTAGTTCGAGGATCAGCAGTCGGCACAAGCATAAAACCCTCGGAGCTCGTCTCGTTGATCTGCGTCCAGCAGTGGCGGCGAGAGCCTCCAGACATTTCCAGAAACTTAAAGCGATATCTGCGTCGTCGTCGTCGTTATTCGTCGCCGCTGTCGTCGTCGTCGTCGCCGTCGTCGTCCTCATTCCTCGTCTCTCGCCGTCGCAGTCGTCATCGTCGTCGTCGTCTTCGACTTCGTCCGTTGTCATCGTCGTCCGTCGTTGTCGTTCGCCGTTGTCGGTCGGTCGTCGGTCGGCCCACGCCTCGAAGGAGGGGTGGCTCTCCCGCCCCGCCCACGTCCGCTCAGAATCCGGATCCCTCCTTGGGCCTATGCTGACCCGCTTCTCGAGGCCGATCCAGCCGCGGCGACGAGAAGGAACACTCCAGGGGAAGCCCGCCGTTGTCTCGACCTGCCCTCCTCCGATCCTCGTCGGTCGCCTGGTCGTCACCCTCGGCCGTCACTGTCGTTCAGCCGTCCATGGAGGCCCAAAGTGCGACAGGCTCTCGACTTCTGGGCCTCCCGGATGGGCTCTGAGTAGACGGGGTCGGAGGATCGCGCCGCATCGGCGATGCATCGCCTATGCGGCTCGATGTGGAGCCCAATTTGCTCCAGGCTGGCGTCGCCGACGCACCGCCGACGTCGGCGCTGCATCGCCGATGCGTCGCTGATGCATTGGCGTTGTGGCGCAATCCCCCGACCTCATCTACCCATCGGTCGTTGAAAGTAGGTATGTTCGGATTCCCAGATTCCAATCTACTTTAAGCGCCTTCTTACTTCAATGGTCGAGTGGCTTCCCCTTTTCCGTCCTCCTCAGGGGGCGGGTGGACACCCAATCTGTTTTCAACGCTTTCCTGCGCCATGTTTCTACCTGCTTCCTCCGACCGATGGGTTCTCGGAGCCCATCTGGGAGGCCCCTGCCAAGTGCGAAAGACTCTACGGTTGGCCCTCCTCCGACCCTCGTCCACTGTCGCCGATATCGACGTCGGCGCTGCATCGCCGATGCATCGCCGATGCCTTGGCGATGTGGCGCAATCCGCCGACCCCATCTACTCGGACCCCTCTTCAGGACTCTTAAGGAGGAGGAGGAGGAGGAGGAGGAGGAGGAGGAGGAGGAGGAGGAGGAGGCAGAGGAGGAGGAGGAGGACGACGATGGAGGAGGATTGAGGGCAAGGAAGGAGGAGGAGGAGGAGGAGGAGGAGGAGGGAGGAGGAGGAGGAGGAGGAGGAGGAGGCAGGAGGAGGAGGGAGGAGGAGGAGGAGGAGGAGGAGGAGGAGGAGGAGGGAGGCGGAGGGGGAGGAGGAGGAGGAGGAGGAGGAGGAGGAGGAGGAGGAGGAGGAGGATGAGGAGGAGGAGGAGGAGGAGGAGGAGGAGGAGGAGGATGGAGGGGGAGCATGGAGGAGGAGGAGGAGGAGGAGGAGGAGGAGGAGGAGGAGGAGGAGGATGGAGGAGAATGAGGGGGAGGATGGAGGAGGATGGAGGAGGATGGAGGAGGATTGGCCCTCCTCCGACCCTCGTCCTCTGTCGTCGGGCCGCCTTGTCGCCGCCGCCGGCCGCCGTCGCCGCGCACCGCCCGCCGCGCACCGCCGGGCACCTCAGGTGCTGGTGCGCCTCGCCGGGCTGCGGCGGCGGCGGGGCCGCCTCCGCGGTCGAGGTGGGCAGGCTCGAGGCGCCCCGCGGGGCTCGTGTCGATTCGATTCCGACTCGATTCCGATTCGATCCGATTCGATTCCTCCGATTCGGTTCGATTCGATTCGATTCGATTTCGATTCCGATCCGATTCGATTCGATTCGATTCGATTCGATTTCGATGGATTCCGATTCCAAGTCGATTCGACGTCGGATTCCGATTTGGATTCCGATTCTCTCACTGAGGCCTTACTACTCTGCCGGTTTTTGCCGATTCGACTCCTCCCGGCTTGGCTGCCGATTTCCGCCGGTGCGATGCATTTCGATGGCCGAGTCGACCTGTCGATTCGATGCTGGGCTCTCCTGCCCTGCCGGCGTCGTCCCCTAGGACCCCACGCTTGCGAAGATCGCTGCAGCAGCGCGGAGGATCACGGCCGGAGCCGCAGACCCCATCCATCTTCGGGAGCCTCGAGGCGGGGGTCAATGCGAGCGGGGGTCAGCCAGAGCGCCCAGGATCCTGCAGGGCCAGGGTCGCATCGACCCGGGTTGGGGTGCAGGATCCTGCAGGGTCTTGCAGGATCCTTCGCATTGACCCCGGGTTGGATGCAGGATCTTGCAGGATCTTATAGGATCCTGCGAGGCCCGACCGACCCGGGTCTGGATTGACCCGGGTCAGAAGATCCCCGACTTCTGCCGAACCTTCTCGAGCCAGCTCCACCCGTGGTGGTTCCCAGGCCCGGAGCCGGGCGGAGCCGCCTGGCACGGGACGATGGCAGCGCCCGGGGCTCAAGTCGGCGGCGAGCCCGGGGGGGAAGTGAGAAGGGACGAGCCTTCTCAGAATCAGCCACGCGCAGAGGTGGGTGGGGGGAGGGGGGAGGGCTTCTTAGAAGCACCCCTGCTTCTCAGAAGGCGCGGGCCGTATCCATAGATGTAAGGCCGGCGCCTTCTAAGAAGCAGCCCCCTCTAAGAAACCTTCCCCCTCCCTCCACCCCCTAGTGCGCACCACCAAATCCTGGCGACTTGACTTTTTCGAGCCGAGCGTTTTCGCTCAGCTTCCGTCGGGAGCCTCGAGACAGGGGTCAAAGCAAACGGGGGTCGGCCAGAGCGCCCGATCTTGCAGGATCCTGGGATCCTGCAGGGCCAGGGTCGCATCGACCTGGGTTCGGGTGCAGGATCCTGCAGGATCCTTCGCATTGACCCAGGTTTGGGTGCAGGATCTCGCAGGACTTTGCAAGTCCTGACTGACCCGGGTCTGGATTGACCCGGCTCAGAAGATCCTCGATTCGGGCCCCGGGACCCTCGCAGATCGACCCGGCTCGAAACATGAAGCAGAAAGATGGGGTCCAGGTAGGGGTCCGGCCGTAATGTTTCACGGTGCTGCAATTCTTTCGCTTCGTCGGATCTCAGTGTCGTCACCGCCATGCTCGCTCATGCCGCGTCTCCCCCCCCAGCGAAGAATCACGGGAGGGAAGCGTTGACAGAGACAATCGAGCGTAGACCTCCAGGAAGCTGTTGAATATTTGTGGGCAAGGCGCGCCCCAGACACACGGAACCCCTTGGGGGCCGCCCGCCCTGGGCTCTGTGCCCGCTCCTCTGTGCCTCCCTGGGCCCCCCATAGGAGGAGGGCAGAGCGTCCGCCTGCCCTGGCGCCAGGCCGCCGCGGGGAGGGGCCCCGGGGCGCGCAGCGCGGGCGGCTTGCTGTGGGGGGCGGGCCCGTCGGCAGTGCTGCCCGCGCCCATGCCTTGCGCCTCGCCCCCGTCGCGTCAGCGCCCCCATCGGAGGGCGAAGCACGGCGTCTCCTGCCCCTGGCGGGAAGCTTCGGCCGGGCTCACGGTGCCCTGGGGCCCGCCGGTTTTCTGTGCTCGATGGCGGTCGCTCGTCTTTTCCCACCGCTCCTGCCCTTCCCGAATCGGACTCGGCGCGTCGTCCTATGGGCTCGCGACTCCTCCTCCTCGTCCTCCTCCTCCCCCTCCTCCTCCTCCTCCTTCTCCTCCTCCTCCTCCTCCTCCTCCTCCTCCTCCTCCTCCTCCTCTGTCCTCCTTCTCATCCTTCCTCTTCCCCCTCTGCCCGAGTCCAGGGCTACTCCAGGTTGTTTGCTTTCAGCTCAGCACCACCAGGCTTCGTCACGCTGTCATGCCCCTCAGCATTCCTCCTCCTTCTCCTCCTCCTCCGCCTTCTCCTCCTCCCCCTCCTCCTCCGCCTTCTTTTCCGCATCCTCCTCCTCCTCCTCCTCCTCCTCCTCTTTCCAAATGGCGCTGAGAATACTCCGAAAGTTTCTGCACCTGTTGTTTTTGTCTTACACTAGAACATCGGACTCCTCACCCCTCCTTGGGGTTTCAGCGCAAGGACGCTCCGTCTGGGTTGTCTCGCCAGCTCGCAATTATGTCGCGGCAGCTGCCCGTTGATATCAAAAAAACCGTTCTCCCCATCTCCCATGAAGTCCCTCCTCCTCCCCCCTTACCTTCCTCCCCCCTGCCTCCTCCCCCTCCCCATCCTTCCACTCCTCCACCTCGGCTCCCCTCCTTCCCCTTCTCGAGGTGGAGGGGGGGAGGAGGGAACCCAGACCCCCTCAGGTCATGTTTTTTTCATTACGGCCGCTGGCGCATTGAAAAAAAAACATACATCGCAAGAAAATCAATGCAATTCGAAAAAATCATTACATGATAGAGTGATGCGAAAGTAACGCGCGGAGGATTTCAACTGCTCAGCTACCACCGTAAAACTTGAGACGTGGGGAATTGACGCGATCCCACACAGCATTGGTACAGCGAAAGCCACAAGGCATTTGTGTACGTACAACACGCTCCGCCACCAGCTGCTGGTCGCGAGCGATGAAGGAACCCCTAGGCCCGCGGAGGTTCCGCTAGCGCTATCCCCACTACCGTGAGCCACGGCGAGTGGAAGGAGGAGGAGGAGGAGGAGGAAACGCAACAAAGATGCTGAATTCAGCGAGCTAGTTGATGAACTCAACGAGCGCGGTTGAATCCGACAGCTGTTAGAGCTCCGCTACCAACCATATGTGCCTCGAGTCCACGCGCGGCGCCATGCCTACGGGCTGAGCCAATGGCGAGGAGGAGAAGGAGGAGGAGAAGGAGGAGGAGGAGGAGGAGGACGGACGAGGAGGACTCGAAAGAAGCGCAACCAACAAAACGCGGTCCTCAAGCGCCCCCCAGCGCCAGCACGCCAGATCTTCCAGGAGGACCGAGTACCAGCAGTGCCCCGCTCAGCTCCATGGGGGCACGAAACGTGTGAGGGGTGAGGCATCGCGTTTTTTGGTTATTCCCAGGGGCGCTTGACGATCCGAGCTTCGTCGTCCCACCACGCCAAGCATACCCAGGATGGGTCGATCTTCGTCCTGTCGGCAAATGGCTGACATGCAGGCATGAAGTGGCACTCTGGGCAGCGGTCGGTTGCACGATACCACAACTGATCATGCGGGCGCTGCCCAGGCATAAGCAGATCGACCCAAGTTGGTGCCCACCAGGGGTGCGGCGAGGGCGGCCGCGGCGGGAGCGACGGCGGCCCGGGCACTCGCTCACGCGGCCGCCGCCGCGTGTAGCGGCCCGCGTGGTTGCCTGGACCTGGACAGTCGCCCAGGTCGAGCCCGCAGACCTCCCCAGGCAACCAGGTGCCTGGCCGACCAGCCAGGTCGAGGCGATCGTCCCTCGCGCTTAAGCGCGCCCTGATCCCCAGGGGCCCCGTCAAGGGGAAAGCCATGCGCCCGCGTGCGCGCGCAGCTCGAGCGCTACAGAAATGGCGGCGGTGCGAGGCGGAGGAGGAGGAGGAGGCGGAGGAGGAGGAGGGGGAGGAGGAGGAGGAGGAGGTGGAGGCGGAGGGGGACGGAGGAGGAGGAGGAGGAGGAGGAGGAGGAGAAGAAGGAGGAGGAGGGATGAGGAGGGGGAGGAGGAGGAGGAGGAGGAGGAGGAGAAGAAGGAGGAGGAGGGATGAGGAGGGGGAGGAGGAGGAGGAGGAGGAGGAGGAGGAGGAGGAGGAGGAGGAGGAGGAGGAGGAGGAAGGGAGGAGGGAGGAGAAAGGAAGATCAGGAAGAGGCCTAGCTGGCCCTTTTCGTGGCGCCTCCCACTTTCGTGGCGCCTCCCGCTGAGGGGCCCAAACGTGACGACGAGGACGACGACGACGACGACGAGGATGAGGGGATCCTCCGACTCCTCCTCCATTATACACGCTACACGCACACACCGCATCATACTCGACATCCCCCACTCCTCCGCCTCCCCCAGGGCGACGACGAGGAGGATGACGAGGGCGAGGACGAAGACAAGGACGATATCGGAAGAGGACGGCTGATCCATGCCGCGCGTGGGCTCGAAGGGAAAGCGCCAGGTCAAGGAGGTGGCTCGAAGCAGCCATGCTAGCCTTCCCTGGGGGAGGAAAGAACGGAGGGAAGAGGCGGGCGGGATGGAGGGGGATCGAGGGAGGAGGGACAATAATGAAGACAAGACCGTGTTCCCTTTCTCGTTCTTGCTGCAAGTCTTCACATGCCTGGAACATGCATTCGGCCACAAGCCCGACGCAGGCGATCAGGCAAGAACGGCATTGGCAGGCAGGGTAAACCATACGTGCGTATATATACATACATACATATATACATGCATGCATGCATGCATGCATGCATGCATGCATGCATACATACATACATACATACACGTATACACACATGCGCATGCTGTAGTATGTATTCATATAACCGCCCCAGCATATCTTGCTCGACGCCAGCCTGCGCGCGGCCGCAGGGCCGCGAAGGGAAACCACAATGGCTCCATACTCATAATTTGCGTGTGTACACATATCCCCCACCAGCCTGGCAGGACGTACCGCGCCTGTCCCGAGTTCGGATCATTCGTCCTCGCCTCGCCCTCCTCCCCCTCTTCCTGGTGGAGGGGAGGGAGGAGGGGAAGGACAGGGGGATGTGCGTGGCCTGCCTCTCCCCGTCTCTACGCGAGGAGGGGGGAGGAGGGGGAGGGGGAAGGGGGGGGGAAGGGGGGGGGGAGGAGGAAGCCGGGGAGGAGGAATGGGAGGGGG